TTTTTTAAATTTTTTTATTTCTCCGTTTAAATAAAAAAAAAAAAGATTATTGCGTATCTATAATGTTTCTAAAGTATAACTTTATTATTACTTTTGAAATAAATAAATAAATAAATAAATATAAAAAAAAAAAAGTTAAAATCTAAATTTTAAAAAATAATCTATGAGAGTTATTTATTACTTAATTGGACTATTTACAATTAACAATTATAACCTGTGATATAATTTAATTATATATTGATTTTTAAACACTATTTAACATTCACAACAAAAAAAATTAAAAAAATTGAAAAAAAATAAATAAAAAAAAAAAAAATTAAAATAAATGAAATTTTTTAAAAATAAATAAAAAATAATAATAATATTATTTATTATTAAATTTTTTTTCTTTTTTTTTTTTTTTTTTTACCTAAAAAGGGGGGGGTATATTTAAAAATATCATTGTATAATTAATAAATAAATAATTTATTTTTTTTTAATTATTTATTATTATTATTTTTTTGTAAAATTATTTAATTTTTACAAATTATTGGGTTTATTTATCTTTTTTTTATTTGCTTTGTTTTGTTTTGTTTTTTTAATATTTTTTTTCACCCATTATATTGTAATCACAAACTATATTTATATATTTTATAATATAAAAATAATAAATAAATTCTGTAATTTTAAAATAATAGCAATAACAAAAATAATAAAAATAATAAAAATAATAAAAATAATAAAATAAATCAGATTTTCAATAAAAACCAAAACTATTAATTTGATTATTATAATAAAAAATTTTTTTTAAAAAAAAATACAAACACAACCAAAAACAGAATAGAACTATGATGTATGTAAAAAATAAAAAAAAAAAAAAAAAAAAAAAAAAAATAACTGTAAAATTATTTTTTTCAAAATAAATAAATAAAATTAGTATTGTTGTTGTTTTAAAAAAATTCTTTAAATGAATTTTTGGTGAAAATAATTAAAATACCCAATTCTTTTTTTTATAGTTAATTTTTTTTTTTTTTTTTTTTTTTTTTTTAATATGGAAGTATGAAGTGTGATACTTCTAACCCTATAACAAAAACAAATCCATCATAAAATATTCCCATATCACAAATTTGATAACAATCAACCGTAAATTAAATGATGGCGCGAATGAATTGATTGTGATTAGTTTAATATTTTATTTTATTTTATTTTTTTTTTTTTTTTTATTTTCAAAAAAAATAGGTTTTTTCACACACAACAATAGAGTTTTCAACCAACACCACTCTAACCATTATAGCAAAAGGAATAGCACCATCATTCAATTATTATGTCAATTTTTTAAAAATTGTTTTTCGTATATATAAATTTTTATTTTTTTTTATTTTATTTTTTTTTTTTTAATTTTTTATAAATTTTTTTTTTTTTTTAAAATTTTTTTTTAAAGCAAAAAAAAACCCAACAAACAATTGTTGTTGTTAATATCCAAAAAATATAATATATACATTTTTATTATAAAAAAATCTATCTATTGTGTCTATTGTATACTTTTATAACTAACTAACTACATTAAAATAAAATCCAATAAAAATAAAAAAAAATAAAAATATAACAACACTAATCATTGTATTATTTTTTTTTTTTTTTTATAATTTGTAGTAATAATAATAATAGTATATAATCACTCATCTTTTATATTTTATTTATTTTTTTTTTTCTTTGTACAATAGTAATAAATAATTATCTTAATAATAATTATTAAAATTTTTTTTTCTTCATAAAAACTTTATACAGAAAAAAAAAAGATATTTTACATTTTTAAAAAAATAGATTAATGATAAATAAATAATATTTTTTTTTTACACACATATATATATTTTAACGAAATATCAAAAATAAAAAACAAACATATAATAATAATAATTTTAAAATAATAAAATGGAAGATAAAGAAGATTTTGAACATGAAGATCACGTTGGAATTTTTCCAATTTTAATGTTATACATTTCATATGCATTTATTATTTTTAATGGTAAACTTGCAGAATTTGTCGGTAAATTAAAAGGTGAAAGATATTTAATTACCCCAGATGTAAGTATAAATATTTATTTTCTTTTATTTTATTTTATATTTTTATTAATTTAAAATTTAAAATCTTAGGGATATGCACCATTATTTGTTGAATTTGAATATTTTTATCAAAGACGTATGTATGGTAGAATTAAAGATGCATGGGATAGACCAATTAATAGTATTGCTGGTGCATGGATCAATGTTATGCCAAGATCAAGCAAACATTATTCACAACGTTTAGAGTTAACTGGTGAAAAACCAATTAGATGTTTAAATTTAGGATCATACAATTATTTGGGTTTTGCTCAATCAGAAGGTCCAGTTGCTGATAAGGTCGTTGAATCAATTTATCGTTATGGTACATACACTGGTAGCACATCATCAGAAGTAGGTCTTTCACAAGCACAAAGAGAGTTGGAACAATTAACAGCACGTTTCATTGGTAAAGAGGATGCTATGGTTTTTGAAATGGGTTTTGCTACAAACTCTGGTACATTACCAGCATTAATTGGTAAAGGTGGTTTAATTATTAGTGATTCACTTAATCATGCTTCATTAGCCACTGGTTGCAAGAACACTGGTTGTAAAGTTAAAGTTTTCAGACACAACGATGCTAAACATTTAGAAGAGGTAGTTCGTCAATCAATTATCGAAGGTCAACCACGTACTCGTCGTCCATGGACTATGATTCTCATCATTATCGAAGGTATTTATTCAATGGAAGGTGAAACTTCAAACTTACCAGAAATCATTGCAATCAAAAAGAAATATAAATGTTATCTCTATGTTGATGAAGCTCATTCAATTGGTGCCCTTGGTAAAACTGGTCGTGGTGTTTTAGATTACTATGGTATTCCAGCCTCCGAAGTCGATATTATGATGGGTACTTACACTAAAAGTTTTGGTAGTATTGGTGGTTATGTTGCCGCAGACAAATCACTCATCGATCATTTACGTCAATCATCTTTCTCTGCTGTTTATGCCAACAGTATGTCACCACCATGTGCCGTTCAAGCCCTCGAAGCTCTTCGTTGTATTATGGGTGAAGATGGCACTGATATTGGTGCTCAAAAATTAAAACAATTACACGACAATTCAAATTACTTTAGAGAACGTATTCGTGAAATGGGTTTCGTTATCCTTGGTAATAAAGATTCTCCAGTCATTCCACTCATGTTATTTAATCCAGCTAAACTCTCTGCCTTCTCAAGATTGGCCCTCGAGAGACATATTGCCGTCGTTGTCGTTGGTTATCCAGCTACCCCATTAACTGAACCACGTACCAGATTTTGTATTTCAGCTTCTCATACCCGTGAAGATTTAGATTGGGCTTGTGAAATCATCAATGAAATTGGTGATGAAATTTCATTAAAGTTTAATAAAAATAAATATACAAATAAATTAATTAAATAAATATTTAATTAATATATATATATAATTATTTATAAAAATAAAAATTAAATTTCTTTATTTTTTTAAAAAAAAAAAAAAAAAAATTTTTAAATATTTGTATTTTATTTATTTATTTTATTATTTTGTAAAGAGTTTTAATAGTTGTTTTATAATTAAATATTAAATCATATTTGTTTTTTTAACAATTATTTATTTCTTTATTTTTTCAGTTAGTTTTTAATTTTTAGTTATTTTTTTTTTTAAAAAAAAGGGGGGAAATTTTTTTCATATCTAAAATTTTAACTCAATTTAAAAAAAGATTAAAATAAATAAAAATTTAATCTAAAATAAAACAAATACACCAATTTTATTATTAATATATATAAAATTTAAACAAATATAAATAAATTATAGACAATAAATTAATTACTTTAATATTGTAAAATTTTTATTTTTTTATTTATTTTATTATTTTTATAATTTCTGTTGTTTGAAGGTTTAATTTGGGTTTCTATTTGATATCGCTTGAACATGGATAATCCTTGATCATTTTAAATAACAAAATGAGATTTTTCTATTTGATATTTTGCAAGTGTTTTAGTTTTTTTGGGAAGTTTTCTTATAAAATTGAGTGCATTTTTATTTTTTAGTTTTCTAATATTATAATTATTCCTTAAATGTAATGATATAGTTATGCCATTTAAAATATTAAAATTGTTATTGTAAAAAAAATTGATTGTTTTTTTATTTTTTTATTTTTTTATTTGAAAATTTTTTAAAATCATTTTTTTCCATTCACACCTTTGATTAATTACATATTTTTTTATTACTTTTCTAAGACCAAAATAACTGGATAAGCTAATATATGCGTTACTTTTTAAAATTTTTTCAAAATTAAATAATTTGGTTTATTCTGGGAAAATATTTTTTTTTAACGGTTTAAAAAATTCCTGGATTGTTCATAGGTTCATAATTTTTAAAAAAAATTTATTTTTTTAAGAATAAATGAATGTAAATTCCAACTTTAAAAATAGAACTTATTTTATTTTTCTCAATAAAAAAGATAAAACATCTTGAATAAAAAAGATGTTTTTTGTATTTTGAAATTCAAGTTTTACAATTATAAATTATTTAATATGAAAAAAAAAAAAATCATTTAAAAAAAATTTGAAATTTTTTTAAAAAAAAAAAAATTGTTTTTGGGATATTAAAATTTGTTTACTAATATAGATTGAGGATGGTTTTTTTTATTTTTTTTTGGTGATTAAAAACATAATATTGTTTTTCCAATTATTTTTTTTAATTTTTTTTTTCATTTTTTCAGTTTTTTTTTTAGTTTTTTAGTTTTTTTTTTTTTTTTTTTAAAAACACCACTCACGTAAATCATATGTAGTCTTGGAGTTTTTTTTTATATTTATATTTTTATATTATATTTTATAAAATATATATTTTATTTATAAATTTATTATTATTATTATTATTGTTATTTTATTTTTTAATATTTTCTTTTTAATTTTTTTTAAAAAAAACTTTTTTTTTAAAAAAATTTTCATTTTTTTTTTTTTTTTCATTTTTTATTTATTGGTGTGTGTTTTATTTTATTTTATTTAAATAAAAGTTATTTCTAAAAATATGGAACCATCAGTAGAATATAGAATAAAAGGAGTACCTATTGAGGAGTTAAAGGTACGGGATCTTTTGTATCAAATCAGAAAAAGGGGCGGAAGTGTACCAACAGGAACCCTTAAGGAGGAAATGATAGTAATGCTCAAGAAAATATTATACAACAAAGCAAAGAGAATCGAAAGCCAAACTATAACAGAAATTATAGACCCTGAAGACTTAATGGAGGAAGATGGTGGGCCAGAAAAAAGCGACCATGGTTTTTTAAATTCCTCAACCGAAACACCACCAACAATGAAGAGGTCTTTCGAACAAAATTTAGCACCATTCAGACAAAAAAAAAAATCATATAAATTAGAAACCCTTTCTGGATTTAGTAAAGAAGCGTTCGCTTTGGAAGAAACTATACTAAAAAAGTAAGTATTTTATATATACACAAATAAGAACCTAATTAATTTCATTGCAATAAAAACTAATTTTTATTTTTTTTTAAATATTTTATTTTTTTTATATTTTTTTAATTCATTGAAAAAAAAAAAAAAGGTTTAATTTTTTTCCTATTGCCTGGAAGGATTACAATTTAAAAAAATTACGGGTTATAAGGGAATTATTACTATAATGATAAATATCATTATTATAAATATAATATATTAATGTTGTTTATTAAATTTATTTTCCAATTTATAGCTGGTTAGAGAATACATTCGTTTTATAATTATTAAGATCTTAAAGGAACACGGTGGGGATTCAGATAAAACATATCCACCACCATTAATAAATTATTTTTGGTCCACTCACATTTTAGATACTTCTAGATACGAAGAATTTTGCAACCTATTCAAGAAAAGGGTTCATTACTGTCCAGATATTTTAGAGGATTTATCAGTTGAAGAAAAAAGAAAACGATTTAACGATACCATTAATTACTATAAAGAGTTTTTTTTAGTTAAACCAAATAATGAAATCTGGGATGATGGATTTTTAGATGAAGAAAATAATAATAGTAATCAATTTGAAGAAGAACAAAAAAAACAGGATCAGGAAGAAAAAGCAAATAATACCGAGGAAAATTCAATAATAAAAAAAAAACATCAACTAGAAACAGATAGCATAATCATTTTAGATGAAGAAGAAGTAGAAGAAAATAAAAAAAAAAAACAAAAAATAGAATTAAACATTGTACAAATACCAACCCCAGAAAATAAAGATAATACCACAAAAACAGGTGAAGCTGCACCCACTTTACAAAATAATTATCAAATATTGGATTCATCAATAAAAAATAATGACAATACAGATAAACAGAATATAATGCCACAAATACAAAAACAACTACAACAAAAACAGGATCAAGAAAATATATCATCAGATCCAAATAAAATTACAATTGGATTTGTACAAAACAGGAGTTTAATTAAAGAAATTACTAATTTTCGTGGTGTTGCAATGGATAGCCCTCTTTCTAAAGTAATAAGAGCATTTGTTAAACTAAAGACCTCTGAGGTCGAGGGTTGCAGATTTTTTTATGGTTCAAAAGAAGTTATACAGACACAAACACCAAAGGATCTTGGAATGAAAAATGGTGATACGATTAATGTTTCTAAATAAATAATCAAATAATAATATAATAATAAATAAAAATTATAATATATAGTAATAATCAAATAATAATGGTATCTTTATTAATTATCTCAATTAAAAGCATTAAATAAAATAAACCAATCTTATGTAAATTTAAATTTAACAATATTTTTTTACATTTTTTTTATTTATTATTATTTTATTTATTTTAACATTAAGAATATAGTATAACCTGCAATGAAAATTGAATTACAGGTTCTAAGTCCCAAATACAACATAGAGTTGAAATGAGATGTTAGGCCCATTAAAAGAAGAAGGACTAAAGCGGCTCCAGCAGGGTTTATTATAAACAACATTGAATTATTAAGGCCGTATCTAAAGGATGCAAAAATTGAAACTGTAATGGAGGCAATTAAAGCTATTGATGGAGAGAGACTCAATTTTAGTATATTATTGAATCCAATTGATATGAATAAAGAAATTAAACAATACAAATTATATTTTTCAATAAATACAATCTTATATGAGGCAGCTGCATTTGTTGATACTTTTGAAAAATAGTTATCTATATATAATGATATAATATATAATGTAATATAAACTAATGGTTCTGCATAAAGGAATGGGAGTTTTCTAAAGAAATTTGGGAATAATTTAGTAACTATTTGAGATAATATACACTGTATTTTAAAATAAAAAAATAAAATTAATAACTTTTTTATGATGCAGTTTTTATTATGTTTTACTTACCACAACTAACAATAAATAGGAATATTTGGATTTAAACAGTGAGATGGTAAAAGATGAATGAATAATCATTGATAAAACCGGTACAAAGAAAATTTTTATAAAAGTAATAATGAATTTAGAACTTAAGAATTCTACTTTAAAAGATTCGATCGATAAACAAAGTGAGGTAAAAGATATAATAACGATAATAAGTGATAAAGGTTTGATTTTAGAAAAAAATGGTAAAAATAAAAAAGCTATCATATTTATAAAATACAAAATTAATAAACCAATTGTATTAAAGTTTGCAACCCTTTGTAGAAAAGGTGCATCGTTTTTATTTATTAGCTTTTTTAATTGAAAAAAAAAGTTAAAATTCATATGGATATCATGGGATATATATTTAATATTATATAAATAATTACAGTTAAAAAAACATTTGTTGTGTATGTTATAAATCCTAAAAATATTGTTAGAGAAATAGTTGCAAGAAACTCAATAAATGGAGGTTTTGGTATTATTGTATCCATTTTAATTATTATTTGTATTATTTTAAATTATAACAAAAGAAAAAAAATTATTTTGGTTTGAGAAATTTTTTTAAAAATCTCGAAAATTTATTTTTATTTTTTATTATTTTTTTATTTATAATTAATATTATATTCATTGATAATTTATTATAATTATCAATGATTATTATTAATTTTTTATTTATTTGAAGCCTTTGAAATTATAGTTTTTAAATTTTGGATTTGATGATCTTCAAACACATTATTAATTTTTTCATAAAATTTATTAAGCCAAGAATTTTTAAGTGGGAACCTACTATAATCGATTGCTAAAAGAATTTCATCCATTACTACAAGGTTGTGTATTGATGCTAAAAAGTTTAAATCGTTTTCCCAACTTTTTTCATAACCTATTGTATTTAAGGTGGTTAAACTCTCTGTCAAGTGGAACCTTAATTTAATGAATATGTCATCAAAAGTATTGTTGATAAGATAGTTAATTGAGAAGTTCGAGTTGTTTAAATTGAGATTGGTATCTGGCGGTATCCAAATTTCATTTTTTTCATACTTCTTTACAATTGTGATATAATCTTTTAATACTGGAGCAGACTCTATATATTTAACTAGTTTTGTCGATTTCATTTTTAGGTAATAATATAGATGATAAAATTCACCTATTAATGGTACAGAGAATTGTCTATAGAGTTCGTCTAATTCTTTTACTTTATATAGGGTTGCATCTGGACAGGTTAGGGCTCTTTTATATATCTTTCTAAAGTAGTGGTGGAACAGTATAATTGATTTCTCTGATAGCTTGAACAATAGGTATTTGGCCAATGAAAAAATTGATGTGAAATTAAGTTTTGAATGGTTATCATAGAATTTAGTATTGTATAAATTATTATCGGTGTTTGGCATTAAACCATTAATATATGATTGTATATTGAGTTGACTATATTCATTTTCAATATTGAAATATTGGTTTTCTAATATTAATTTAATTGTTGAAAGTTCCAATGAATTGAATAATAAATCAATAGCTGGGAATTTTGAAATATTAAAATCTATGAGCTGATAGAGTTCCTTATCACCTTCACTTGATACTAATTTATAAATGTTGGTATATAGATCTATAAGTTGTATATAGTTTATTTGTGTAAAACCTTTATATTGATCCCTTTCGAAATAATTTGACCATTCTATTAGATCTTCAATGGTTTTAAAATTTTCACCAATTAACTTTCTATTTTTAAATAATTCTAAAAACATTAATGAAACGCTTTCTCCGGTATTTTTTTGATAGTATTTTAATTGATCTAAATTCTTAAATTTAATCTTTATTTTGCCAAATAAATTTGATAGTATTATTTTATTATTATTTCTATTATCTGAATTTTTTTTGAGGGTATTAAGCTGTATTATAAAATCTATATTGTTTTCATTTTCTACTATAAATTCTGCATTGTTTGTATAGAATGGTGATTTCGGTATTGGTAAATTCATGGATGATAGTTTTTCTATTGATTTTTCTATTGTTTTATTTTCTATAAACCATTGTAAAGTCTGTATTGAATTTGAATTTATATATATATCTCTATTTTCTACAAAGTTCATGACTGGTATTAGTTTATTTTCTAAAATGGCTTCTAAAATATCTATTGGGCAGTAGCTTAAAACCATTCTAATAAATTGGTCTGGTAGTTTTATTTTATGTTGTATTTCTGATTGTTGTGTATTGGCTTCTTTATTTTTATTGTTTGATCTTGCTTTGCTTTTTTTAATTTTTAATTGGGCTATTTTATTATGTTCTAATAGTTGTTTGGTTTTTGTGTTAAATAACTTTAAAAAATCTAATACCCTTGAATTATTGCGACCATTTTCGAAATCTGAAGGTAATAAATTCATTGAGTTAATACTGTGTTGATCACTAAAGTCAAAACCCACTTCAAATAAATACTGTAATCCATTTAAACTGCACGATTCAAAAGTTGATAAAAAATCTAAATTCTCTATTTCAAACAGGTTTTCAACTTTCTTTTTGCCATTACTTTCTTTGTCTTGCTGCTTCGCATTACAATGATATAAACTATAGAGCGATTTTCCATTTAATTCATTCCAGTAATATTTAATAATTGAGCTGTCGATGGATGTTTTTTTGTTTTTCTTTACTTCTTTGATCAAAATTTCAATTAGTTTCGAAGCTTTTTCTTGGTTACTATATTTCTTGCATTGAAAAATTACTTTATATTCATTTGGTATTTCTAATTTTGTTTCATTGTTGATCATATAGACTAGGGTTACATAAAATTTCATGGTTTCGATAATAAGATCTTCTTTGCTTTGTGATTCAACTTTATTTTTGCAAATTAATTGTGAGGATTTATCTTGATCTTCGTATAATAATTCTTGTAATGAAAATAAAAAGCTTTTAATGTTTGAAATATTGACAAGATCCATTTCTAATATTTTGATTTTGATAGAGGGTGAAGAGATTTTAAAAACTTCATTTTCTGAGACTTTACAATATCCATCTACTCTTTCATACAGTTGGGGGTTGTTGAGAATATATTCCATTATAAATCGATTGTGGTTGTGCAATGCCAATAAAAAAACTCCTTTTTTGAACGTTTCAGCTTGGAAATTGTATGGATCTGGATCATAGTCGGTTAAATCAACTTTATTTACAAGCAGTGTTAATGGTAATGGTTCCTCTTTTTCTTCCTCATCTTGCTGCTTTGTTTGCTCCTCAATTACTTTATATAAATACTCAATAACTTGTATGGAGTTACTTGTTAGTGCAAGTCTTAAAAGATTTCTTTTGATTCTAAATTCATATTTTGAAATGAGATATTTTAAAATCATTACATTTCCACTCTCTATTGATTTTTCTATAAGCCATTTTACCGATCCATAAGATTGTTCATTATAATAGTTGTCAAAAAATAAGTTGATAGTTTCTTCATCTAAATTGCAATGTGTAAATAATTTGAGAATTGTAGATCTTTCTATTATTAACTTTTCCTTTGCCCTCATTTTCATCTTTAATATCATGAATGATTTATCATTCTCTAATAGCCACCCCAATGATCTGATTTTTGAAAAACATCTACGGTGTCCCAGATAATATTTATTTAATTCTATTGGGTCTTCTTTCATAATCTTGAAAATTTGCGTTAATATATATCTATTGTGGAAAACTTTCCAAAATATAGTTTCAAATTTATCATGACTGTTTATTTCCATTGAATATATAGATATATTTTAAAAAATATAATTTAATGAATAAAAAAAAATTTTAATAAATAAAAAAAAAAGTAAACTCATAATAAAAAAATCTTTATTTTTAAAAGAAATTTTTTGGAAAGTTTTTTTTCTTTTTTTTTAAGAAAAAAAAAAACTTAACTATTTTTTAATCAATTTAAATGGGGGTCTTTACTATTTTATTTTTTTAAATAAAAAAATGATCTTTCCCCCAAAAAAAATATTAATATTTTAATTTAATTTTTTAAAAAAAAGTTTTAATTATTTTTTCTTTTTTTTTATTTTTTTTTATTTTTTTAATTAAATGCAGATCATTTGTTTAAATATTAAAGAATCTTTTAAATAAAATTTTTTATCAGTTCATTTTAATGTTTATTATATTTTGTGTGTTAATGGGTGTTCAGTAAAATCTACAAAATAGAAAAATGGATAAATAAACTGTTTTCTTTTTTTTTTTTTAAAATCTTTTTTTTTTTATTGTTTTTTTTTATTATATAATTCATTACTATTTTTTTAATATATATTAAAGAGTATATAAGAATGATATTATTAAAAGTTATAATATTTTTACTATTATCTTTTATCGGGTATCAATTTGTAGGTATTATAATTTTACTCTTTTAAAGAATTATTATTAATTTTTTTATTATTTTCATTAATAGTATTTGGTCAATAAAAAAACAGATAGAAATGGAAATAAAATACCCAATGGTCCATTTGCAATCCCAATTTTAGGTAATTTATTGTTAAATATAGGTGCATCTCGACACTTGGTGTTAGAAAGAGTTGGAAAAAAGTTTGGAAGAGTTTACAGATTATTAAAAGGTGGCTTATTCTGTATTGTGGTATCGGATGTAGAGTTTATTCGTCAAATGGATGATAGTGGCAATTTTAATGCAAAGCCTTTACAGCCATCTCATGAATATGGTAGTATTGGATATAATGATATTGTATTTACAAGTGATCAAGCAAAATGGGGCAGAAACAGGGAATACTTAATCAAATCATTAGCTAAAGTAAAAACTGTAATGGATGTAGATCAAGAAATTGAAGAACAAGTAAACAATTTGATTAGAGCTTTTCAGTATCACCAAGATAACAACTTAATGATACATCCCAAACTATATCTAAAAAAATTGGTATTAAATGTATTTTTCAAGATGACATTTAACAAAACTTACCCATACGAAGATATTCTTAGCAATAAAAGTGATTTCAATCAAGAGTTTTTAGCCAAATTAGAAAAGAAAGCTTTGTTTATTGATAAACATATAGGCGATTATCTAGAAAGATTTAAACCAAAATTTAGAGCCTTCTTTCAGAAAGCTAGGGGTTTCGAAATAATATTAGGAAATTTAAAAATGGTCAAGGATGAATACAATAAGCATATCAATGGCGGCTCAACAAATGATATCATGGGTTTATTGGTTGAACTATTTAAAGGTGGCAGCAATAGTGTAAATGACGGCGATCTTGACTCTTTATATGGTATCATCTTAAATTTATTAGAGTTTGGTATAGAAGAAATTTCAAATACAATGGAGTTTGTACTTTTAGAATTAATTAACAATAGTACTGGTTCTGAAAATCTTCAAGATATATTATATCAAGAGATTCAATCTTTGGGAATTCAAAAAGGACAATACATATCAAATGGGTTCCAAAATAAAACCCCAAAACTAAACTCTTTCATTAAAGAGGTAATGAGAGTTCATCCAATCCATCCGCTTGTATTTAAAAGATGCACAAATAATACTCAAATTCAAAACTATTTAGTTCAAGAAGGTGTATGTATCTTTTGCAATAATATAAAAATTATAATAATATACTAATGTTTTATTATTTACTTAGACTTGTATTATCTTAAACTATAAATCAATAAATAATGATGAAAAGTACTTTGAAAGTCCAAATCAGTTCAGATATAATCGTTTTATTGGTAACAGTGGTGATGATGATGCAAACTTAATGGTATATGGAAATGGTGCAAGACGATGTCCAGGTGATCAGCTTTCATCACAATTGATTTATACTATAACAATTAATATTTTAAATAATTTTATTATTTTTTCAAATAACAATAGTAAAATTTTATTCAAAGAATGTAAGGGATCATCATATATAATAATGTATTGCATTACCAATTATTCTAATATTTTTTTTTTCGCCTATATAGATTACAGTTTAACAAGTTTCCCATCCCAATTTGAAATAAAACTTATAAATAGAGAATAAATAATATAAGGTTTAAAATAAAGTTTTATAAAAAAATTAAAATAAAGATAAAACATATTAGGTGTTAAAGATTTGCTTTTTTATTTTTGTTTTTAGTTTGCTCTGATTATTTTTATATTATAAGCATTGTCTGGAATATATTGTTTAATTTGACTATCGGATAATGCGCAGTTTTTTACACCAAAAGTAAGAGTATGTACACGAGGTGGAAGGTGAGATAAGGACTCAATGTCTCTATAATCTGAACCTAATTCTATCTCTACAATAGTATGTGGGAGGCTTTGAGCAACTATTGGTTGGTTATAATTTTTTAAAATTAATGAATTGATAGAGTTTGGTAAAACGTTTTCTTTGGTTAGTGGATATTTGAAATTATAGCTACTTGTTAAATACATTGTTTTTGGTGGTAGTTTTGAAGAATATTTTAAAAAATCGAAATTCTCACCAAGGACCAAAGAAAGAGTTGATGATGGTAAACTATTGTCGCTTAGACTCTGTAAAGCTGGTATATCTAATGATGTGATCGTGTTGGGAAGTGAATCTATTTGAAGCTCTTGGTTAAATGATTCTAGTTTTACTGATATTAGCTTTGGTGGTAGTGTATTGGGTGAGATAACTTGGTTGAATGATTTTAAAATTAAATGTTTAATTGAATCTGGGAATGAATTTTTTAATATAGCCTGGTTAAAAGCTGGTAAATCTATAACTTGACTCGAGATTTGTATTGAGTTTGGTTGTATTATTTGATTAAATGAATCAAGCTCTAGATCACAAACTGATGAAGGTATTGAAAATGGTTCTATAATTTGATTAAAAGATGGCAGCGAGAGGGTTAAAAGTGATGTTGGAAGAGTGTCTTTTTTAATTACTTGGTTAAAATTTTCTAGCTTTATATATAAAACACTTTCTGGAAATACTCCTTGATCGAAAACTTGATTAAATTCATTCATTATTATTGATTGCACACCATTAGGAATTGAGTTTGGAGGAATGATTCCATTAAATGTTGGTAGTTCTACAGAGATGGCTGATGGAGGAATATCATACAAATGAAAGTCTTGATTTATATTTGAAATGAAATCATTATTATCCATTTTATTATTATAGGCGAGTTTTTGATAAACAGTTTGTAAAAAAAAATTTTTTAAAAAAATATCTTTTTTTTTTAAAAAAAAAATATTATTTTTATATCATTATAATTGTTGATTATTATTATTAATTATTATTATTAGTTATTATCATTATTTAGTTGATTTAGCTATATCGTTTAATTGTTATATATCTAACAGTTTTTGGAATAAATTTTTTTATCTGATCATCGGTAATTGTAGAGTTTTTAGTACCTAACGTAAGAGATTTGACAGAATCTGGGATTTTCATTAGAGATTCGAAATCTTTAAAATCATTACCAAATGTCAAAAGTTTAATAGAGTTTGGAAGGAATGAAGCTTTGTCAAAGATATTTCCCAACACAAGGGTTTCTACTTTTGATGGAATGAAACCAGGATTTAATTTTTGAATGAATGATTGTAACTCGAGGCGGATAACATTGGGCGGTATAGAGCCAACTTGGAGTTCTTGGTTAAAAGATGGTAAACGGAGATCAACAATTGTTTCAGGAAAAGTATTAGGTTCAATAGCTTGGTTAAATGATTTTAATTCTAATTTTTCAATAGATTTTGGTAAATATTCTAAAGGGTCTTCTTCATTGTCAGTTGAGGGAGGATACGTTCTTGTAAAATAATTTGTGATTTTTAATACTTGGTTAAACGATGGAATATGGAGGGTGGTTACTGATGATGGGAATGTATATGGTTTGATAACTTGATTAAAATCTGGTAATTTAATAGTGTGTACTTTTTCAGGGATTGTGTTAACATCGATTACTTGATTAAATTTTTTAAAATTGATAATCTGAATAGACTCTGGTAATGCTCCTTCTGTGAATGGTAGATTATATGCACCTAATTGAATCTCTTCTACATTATTACTTAAAGATCCTGGTGATATTGTTTGGTTAAATTTAGATAAAATAACTTTAGTTGTTGAAGCTGGAATACCAAGTGACCTAATAGGTAGATTTTCATCGGATTTAAATTCTGTATTAATTGGTTGCATAATCACCTACACAAATAATTTTAAATAAAAAAAAATTGAAAAAAAAAAATTGAAAAAAAAATTGAAATTTAAAAAAAAAAAAAAAAAAAAAGGAAACAAATAAAAAGTTTAAGTTTGTAAATTGTATTTATGTTTTATTAAATTTTTTTTTTTTATGTTTTAGTATTTAAAATTTTAAATATTTAAAATCTTTATGAGTTTTAAATGAATCAGTTACTGCCTTCTTATTTGTAATTCTTTTTAAATTATTTAAAATTATAAAAGGTTCATTATTTGAGGTTGCAGCTAGAATTGATTTGTTGTTGATTTTATAATCTGGAGCTTGATAATTTCTTGCTAAAAAGTCATACATTTCTACATGGCCAACAGAAAAGCAGAGTTCAAATTCAACTTCAGTCATTTGTTTGAATATTTGAGGTGAATAGCTTGAAAGTAATTTAATTGTATCGAAATTATAGTCTTTGATAAGATCTGTTAAAATCTGACTTGAAATTGAAGAAATGTAAAGTTCTCTTTCTTGGGGACCGTTGCTTTCATCTAGTAATAAATATTCGACCAAATCCAATCTTTGATACTTGAAAAATATCAATAACAGTTGATTTTTATTTTCAGGTTCTTTTGTAAATATTGTATTTTGGTTCAATAGTTTCTTGAGTGATTCTTTATCTAAAACTTGAGAAAGACTTTGTTCGATACTTTCTAAAGGGGGGATTTCTACTGATTCTTTGGCTAAAGATATGGTTTCTAAAAATAAATCAAATTGACTTAACATTAAAAAAACTTTTGCTGATTCTTGGCCATAAATATATTTATCCACAATTCGACTCTTTAATAAAATAAATAGATCTTTAACACTTGTTTTTGATATCAAATCCAAATTAAGTTCATTGGTTGCCTCGGAATTCATCTCTTCAGTTTGTTTTGATGTTATTGAGTTTGGATTGGAGCAATAAGTGTAGAAATTTGAAATTCTTAATAGATAATATCCCAAAATTTGATCTTTAGCCTTAAGGTAATGTACCAGATGGAACAATGTTGGTTTAATTATTATTTGATATTCTTCGTATAGTTGATTGATTTCTTTGATTTCTTCTAGTGTAATATCGGAGGTGGTGATTATTGATTTGTATAAATATAAGAATGTTGATTCGAAATAATGGTGATGCTTTTTGGGAATATTTAATAACAAATAATAGATAATTGAAAATAAATTCTTAAAATTCATAATTCCTGTATTATCAGAGCCAATGGGTAATTCAATTTCATGTAGAGTTGATTCTAAAAGTTCTTTAATTGGACAACTACTGCCATCTTTGTCATCAGTTGCAAACAATCTATCAAAATCCATTTGAGAAACTATAAACTTTATTAAAGGTAACCTAAATCTTTGTAAATGTCTAAAGAGTAACTTTATTGATTGCTCTGGGAATTGATTAAAGTTGATTTTTAGTTGTTTAATTTCTGAATCATCAAACTGAAGGAATAAATCATTGATAAAGTCAAAAAAGATAGATTCTGTAAAAAGATATTTGAAGCCTCTTTCATTTAAATATTCCAATAATGTTCCTATTTGTTCTTTAGAGCATATACTACCACTTTGATAACTGTTAATATATAGTGATGGTGATGTTGCTGTTACTTGTGAAGAATGTGGAGTGTTTGTAATAATCGATTCAAAAAATATTAAAGATGGTATATCTGAAGTTGACAATGCTCTGAAGAATGCTTTGATATAGATTGAAGGTTTCAATAGGTTCTCTTTTAATTTTGAATAGATTTCATTTGATTCCAATTTATTTCTAAAATACGATACATTATCCAAAGATTTGAAAAGATTTGATAGATTTATTTCTTTAGTGTCAAGTTGATAAAATTCATAATTTTCAATAACGAAATCTATTGATTCATTTTGAGTTAGAGATGGCACTTGGTTAATTTGATTGATTTGATCTAATGTTAAATTTGATTTTAATGCAAGTTCTATATACCATTTATATTTTGAAAATGGAACTACTTGAGGATTTTTGAAATTAAAGTATTCAGAAGCAGGTATAACATTTGATGAGTTGATAAATTCTAAAGTTTGCACTGATATTTCAAAACGACCCAAAAGAATTTCAATAATTTTGTTCCATCCTTCAAATACTACTTGATTTTTAATACTGCTACCAAGATATAGTTGTAAAAATTCTTTAATTTGATTTTCTTTTTGGTCATTTGTCAATTTGGTTGATTCTAAAAACTTTTCAAATACGAAACGGGAATATTCTACTTTTTTTTCTGTGTCAGTACCGCTGAAAGACTTTATGATGAAGTTTAAGGAATTAACATCAAAATAATTAAAGGTGTAGGCCATTACAACTTCAGTTCTGAGATCTTCAATTACACTGTTATAAAGACATAAAAACTCTAAATATAATTCATCAGATTTGAACTTTCTAATTATTTTCGTTAACAAGGCTTTCTTTATTTCTTCTCTATTGTCACCCATGGTTTCACTGTGGCATTTGATTTCTTCTCTATCCATATAACACTTAATTCTTAATATTAACTCCAGTTCTTCAATTGATAAACGTGCTGCATCTTTAACATTTATCATTTCGATGGTTGGGATTTCTACAAAATTTAATTCCAATAGCTGATTCTTTAATTTAATTGATTTGAAAGACATAAATTGTGAAAATGGTAATGATATTTTATTGCTATCATTATTTTTATTACTATTTTCTATAAATGGTGAAATTATTGGATTATTTAATAAAAATAATAGCATATCTTCCTTAAATGAAAAATTTAAAAGTGAATTTTTAATTAAGTCTGATTTAATTGGTGTTATAAGTGTATTACGCTCATCTTGATCCAAATGATTTAAGAGCATTTCTAGAATTTCATGATTTGAAAACTTAACAGTGGTAATAAAAGTTGATGGGTAAATTGGTAAAAAATACTTTGAATTATCATTATTATTATTAACAAATCCATTGCCTTTAATTCTCTTTTCTAATAATATTTCTAATGCTACAGAATTTCTTTTTCTTATTGATGTCATTATTAAATCTGAGATTGATAACTCTGAAAATTTCTTTTCTAACATTTTTAAGATAATATTTCTGTTGAAACATCTTTCGAAAAATATTTGGATTCCAAGTGGGTTGATGTGTAAATATCTGTCACTTTGAAGTTTATCTTCTAAGAGTGGAAACTGCTTTCTCATAACCATCCAGTAGAGAGAGGTTATAGATGACCATGGTTTACGATGACCACAATACACTTTTTTAATATCTTTATATTGGATATTTTGATTTCTGATGAAATATAAAATTAAATTAAAAATGAATTTATTTCGCATAACTGCAAAAAATAACGTTTCATTTTTATCTTCGTTTACTATCATAATAAGTTTATTATTTGATTGATGGATACAGTGAAAAATAATTGTGGGGTAGTTTTATAATTATAAAAATTTCATATATTTTTTTTTAAATAAAAAAATTAAAAAAAAAAATTAATTTGTAAAAAAAAAAAATAATTTAAAAAAATATTATTTGACTCAATTTAAATTCCCACCCTTGATGAAAATAACATATTCCCACCTTGAAAAAAAATTACATACAAACATCCATACATAAAATAAACTTGAATATTTCTTATATATACACTTGAATGTTTAAGTAATAAATTCAATAGAACGTTTCAAAATAATTTGTATATTTTCCAACCAAAAAAAAAAAAGGTGGTTTTTTTAAATAATTAAAAAAAATATTAATTTTTTTTTTTTTATATCTTCAAACAAATACATAAAATATAAAATATCTTATAACAAATTTATAAATAAAAATAAACATAAAACAAAAAAATAAAAAAACAAAAATAGATTTTATTTGCACAATGGGCAAAATAATGTTGTCTCTAATTTTTTTTTTCTCTAAAATTTAACCAACCAAAAAATGGTGTATGTTGATCAAAGTTTTGTGTAACCCTTTTCCATCAAAAAATATCTTTTTTTTATTTTTTTTTTTTTATTTTATTTTTTTTATTTTTAAAAAATTTCAAACTTTTTTTTTTTAAAAAACCTATCAAATTGACAGTTTTATTTTTAATTTATTTTTATATTTTTGTATTATATTTTTATATTATATTTTAAAAAAAAATATATAAAATTTTTATATATATATAAGTTAAATAGTATTATTTAAAAATGATTCCAAATACAAACAGGGTTCCAAATTCAAGAATCGAATTAAGAATTAGATGCAGCCATTTAAAAAATCTTGATATTGTTTCAAAATCAGATCCAGTAGTTAATCTTTTCACAAAAAGAGGCGCAAACTATACATATGTTGGTTGTACAGAAAAAATTAATAATAATTTAAATCCAGAATTCAAAACACCAATTATTATCGATTACTTTTTTGAAGAAGTTCAAAATCTTAGATTCACTTGTTTAGATATTGATGGTGAAGTTAAAATTTTATCAGGTATCGATGAAAATGATACCATTGGTTCATTTGTATGTATTACAAACACATTTATTTAATATTAAATTTTCAAAATTTTTTATTAACAATATTATTATTTATAGGAAACTACATTAGGTAATATATTATCAAGACCTGGTAGAAGAGTAGTTGGTGAATTAAAACATAAAGGTAAAACTACTGGTAATATTGAAGTTACTGCTGAAGAACTCCAAAATACAAATCATGATATTTATCTTAGAATGGAAGCTTCAAATGTCGATGCTAAAGTAATTATTTGTTAATTTATTTTATTATATTATATTTTATTAATCAATTACTAATATTAAACATTTTATTTTATAGGATTGGAATGGTAAAAGTGATCCATATTTTAAAATTTATAAAGCTGTTCAAGGTGGTAGTGCTCCAGCATTAGTTTATCAAAGTGAAATTATTAAAAATACATTAAACCCAGTTTGGAGACCAGTTCAGATGTCATTAGAATCATTTAATGGTGGTGATATGTTTAGAGATTTAACAATTGAAGTATTCGATTATGATTCAATTGGTTCACACGACTTAATCGGTATTGTTCATTTAAATGCAGATCAAGTACTCAGAGGTCAAAAAGAATTCCCAATTATTAACCCAAAGAAAACAAAAAAATCAGGTTACAATAATTCAGGTATTTTAAGATTCTTTGAAGCCAAATTAGAAAAGAAACATTCATTCCTCGACTATTTAGCAGGTGGTTGCGAAATTTCATTAATGGTTGCAATCGATTGTACAGGTAGCAATGGCGTAGCTTCAAATGTACATTCACTTCATTACAACACACCAGCACAACCAAGTCAATATGCCCGTTCGATTATGTCAGTAGGTTCAGTTTTAGCTCCATACGATTCAGATGGTATGATTGATGTTATGGGTTTCGGTGGTTCATATCCAGGCTCAGGTGTATCACATTGCTTCCCATTCTCTTTTGATCCAAATGTACCAGCAGCACTTGGTGTTCAAGGTGTTTTAGGATTGTACAATCAAAACATTGAAAAAATTTATTTCTCAGGTCCAACCAATTTCAGCGAAGTCATTCAACATGCAATGAAAAAAGCATCAGAAGGTCAAAACCAACAAAACCAAAAATACACTGTACTTTTAATTTTAACCGATGGTGAAATTTCAGATATGGACGAAACCGTTAGAAACTTAGTTAGTGCCTCAACTATGCCATTATCAGTCGTAATGTAAATATTTCTTTTTAATTATTATTTCTATTTAGTTTTTTTATTAATACTTAATTCATTATAATTTATAAATAGTGTTGGTGTAGGTTCAAGTTCATTTGATAATATGGTTACTTTAGATGGTGATGATGGTACATTAAAAGATTATAACGGCAGAAAAGCAAGCAGAGATATTGTACAATTCGTACCATTCACCTCATTCTCATCAAATATCGATTTATTAGCACAAGAAACCTTAAAAGAAATTCCAGGTCAATTACTTTCATTCTTTAAAACTGTTGGTTTTGCACCAAACCCACCAAGACAATTTGTTGCTCAACCAATCATCACTCCAATTCCACCTCCAATCGCACCACAATAAATAAAATATTTAAATTATAATGTTAATATTAATATAATTGTTATTATATTGTAAATATAAAAGAAACTAATATTTAATTTTAAAACTTTAAAGATTAATTCGAATTCTTTCAATTTCAACACATTATAATATTAATAATCAATATTCCATGACCCTGATGATAATATAAATAATTCATCATCCAGAGACATATTTAATATGAATATAGATATAGTATAAATAATAATCAACATTATAATTATACTAATTTTAAAATTTAAAATTAATAAGAAAATGAATTAAATAAAAAATAGAAAAGGAATAGTTTCACAAAAAAAAAGAAAAAAAAGAAAATAGGTAAAAAAAAATAAAAGAATATATTATTTTTTTATTTTATTTAATTAAATACTTTTAGGATGTGATTTCTATATTAAAGAATTATATAATATTATTTTTCTATTTTTATATAATTATAGTTATTAATATTAATGAAAAAATTGTTTAGATTGATGTGGTCCAATTCCCCATTTCATAAAATTTTTGATTTAAATAATGCAAGTGCTTATCTGTATATGGTGATTGAAATCTGCTTAATCTATTCTATGTGCTAATTAAAAATCTTAATCTTTCTGAATTATCTATATATTATACTTGGGTTATTATTTAATTATTTATTAATAATTATTATATTTATTATTTATTTTACTAAAATAAAAATTAATATTTTAAAGAAATGTTGAAATAAATAAAAAAAAAAAATTAAATAAGTTTTTGATTGAAATTATATAATTATAAAATAAAAAAATTTATTTTCTTTAACTAAAATTAATTACCTCTTATATATTATTCTATCAATCTATGAATCTGAAATTCTGATTCTGAATACTCTTTTTGTTAAAAGTGTTGATGAATTTTTACCTAAATATTGTAGCACCTCATTTAATTGGGAAATTTTTTTTTCTTAAAATTTGAAATTATTTATAAAGATAAAATTTTTATTATTTTAATTGATTATAAGGTAATCTATATAAAATTTAAGTTCGCAATTTATAAATTTTTTATTTAATGTATTGTTTTAATTAAATTTTTTTAATTTTTTTTAATATTTTTTTTTAATTGAAAATTAAAATTTAAAATTTTTTTTTTTTTTTTTTAATTAAAAATAATAGCTTTCATAACCACACACACTATTTTTTTATATACATTTCACACAACTTCACTCATAGCATAATCATTATTTTATTACATTATTTTATATTAGTTATTTTTTTTTTGTAAATAATAATATTTTATTTATATATTAAAAAAAAAAAAAAAAAAAAAAAAAATATTTTGTAAATAAATTATTTTTAATATATCCTCAAAAATATAATAACAATTATTTATTTTTGTTTTAGTTTTAAGTAGTGTTTTTATTTGTTGTAAATTTTGAAATTTATAAAAAATGTATAGTATTGTAATTATTTGTTTTGTTGTTTTGTTCATTTTTTATTGGTTTTTTAAAAAAACCAGAAATAACACCACCAAATACTACTACCCAGATGGAACCGAATACGTCGAAGACTATTTCTACGACGACCAATTTTATGAAGAGTTCCATAAAAAAAATAACCCACCACAACAAAACCAATCACAACCACTCCCACTCCCACAACCACTCCCACAACCACAGCCACTCCCACTCCAACAACCACAATCACCCCAACAACCAATCCTACTCCAACAACCACAATCACAACCTCAATTACCACAACCACTCCCACTCCCACAACCACTCCCACAACCACAGCCACTCCCACTCCAACAACCACAATCACAACCTCAATTACCACAACCACAACCAAAACTTACTGCATCAATCCCAGATTATAAAAAGCTATTTCAAGCTATGGATGCATATGAAAAACAACAACAACAGGAACCAGAACCACAATCACACCCATACCAACAACCACAATCACCACAACCACAATCACAACCAAAACATACTGCATCAATCCCAGATTATAAAAAGCTATTTCAAGCAATGGATGCATATGAAAAACAACAACAACAACAGGAACCACAATCTATGGATATTGACTCAGGGACAGTCAATACTCCACGTCCACCACCTGAAGATGAAGCTATAACCCGTTTAAATGAACGTTTAGAGCTCTACAATTTAGTGAACAGTAGAGACATCCCAGGGGATGGCAATTGTCAGATGCATGCCTTATCTGACCAAATTTATGGCGACTTAAACCATAGTGCCGAGATTAGAAGAGCTATTGCTACATGGCTCATTAAAAATAAAAATTTAACCCTTTCAAATGGTGCAAAAATATCCCAATTTGCCAATACTACAAATTGGAATAGATACTGTAACCAAATGGCAAGAAGGGGTACATGGGGAGACCACTTGACATTAATTGCCGCTGCTGAAGTTTTCAAATCCCAAATTACCATAATTTCATCAGTTGAATCCAACAGCAGCTTTATCATTGAAATTATTCCACGTTCAATTGAAAACCCAAGAGCAATTATCTTGTCTCACCATGCAGAGCAACACTATGGTTCCTTACGCCAACTTATTAATTAATAAGTCATGGTCCAATTAAGTTATTCGAGGTATTTTTTAAAACATTAAAGGTAAATAATTATATTTTCTATTTTTTTATTTTTTATAATTTTTTTATAATTTATTAATTCATTTTTTTTAATACAATAGATTTCGCTGTTGTCACAGCATGTTTTGGCATTGGTCTTATAAATTTCGGTATTAGTACACCTAATCAATAATTTATAGACAGAAAATGTCATCTGGTTAAAATTTTATAGTCATCTGGAAATATTATAAGCAGCATCTGAAAAACAATTGTCCAAACGTATCAAAAATCCTATAGCAAATTCAATTTAAGGTCCAAATGGTGGTTCAAGTAATCTATTAAGTGTGGTTCAAGTGGTAATTAACATCACAATTCTAATGTTGGTTCAAATAACCTGTCAAATGTGGTTCAAGTGGTAATTTTCATCGTAATTCAAATGGTTGTTGAAGTAATCGATCAAGTGTGGTTCAATTAATCAGTCAAATAGTGGTTCAAGTGGTATTTCACATCGTAATTCAAAAGTGGGTTCAATTAACCGGTCAATTGGTTATCAAATAGTGGTTCAAATTGGTGGGTCAAATAGTAGTAAAAGTAATTGGTCAAATGGTGGTCCAAGCAATATTTTAATTAGTAGCTCAATGGTTGAGCAATTAGCGAATTATATGTAATCAGTTCAAGATTTATTGATAGTCGCCCGGTTGTGTATTCCTATATAGTAGAAATTATAACTTAGGTAGGTTATCTTTATATTTTCATTTAATATCAAACTATATATTAATAATCTTTTTATTTTATTTTTTGTCTTAATTATTTATTTTTTAGTTATCTTTTTTTTAAATTTTAAAAAAATTTTATTTTTTAGATTTTTTTAAAATTTCTTTTTATCCAAAAAAAAATTTATATTTTTTAATTTTATTTAAATATTTCAAAAAAATAATAATGGCTTTAAAAAGCCTTAAAGTAAGTAAATAAGCACATTATTTTAAAAAAAAAAAATCAATATAAAAATGGGATTCGTAGATGAACATAATACTAACACAAATTAATATTTATTATATTTAGTGTAGATCAAGTACAGTAACCTATTTTATTTAGTGGTAATAAAACAGAGCCTGATTCGAGAAGTGTATGATATATTGGTAGCTTAGAATCAGTTGCGTGTAGAACTCATTTTATCAAGTAGTGCTTAAGAATCTTTTACACCAGGAGGTGAATTATTTGTTTATCAAAGGTAGAAGTACCGAATCTGCTTCATCAAGCTGTGCGTAATCTCTGGACAAAGTAGTAAAGTCTATTGTATCCGATAATGTAGAATCATGTTTCATCAACCTCTTTTTTTGATAAAGTGGTAACAAGAGGTATATATTCCGAACTCATCAAATAATTTGGGACCAACTTTGCCAAGTTGTGCAATATCTGTTGTATTTTTAGTATATGTGGTCGTAATGCAAAGCCTGTCATCAAATATTTATATCAAGTTAACATTAATGAAGCCAATCAATCTAATTAATTATTTTATGAATATCATTAGTTCGCTCTGGCCAAGCAGCTATGATATAAATAAAATAATTTTAGAAGAGAAGGTAAAAAACACTGAAGCTTTCGTAATTATTGACCAAATTAGGGAATATCAAAACTCACCACTTCTAAAAGTCCGCTAAACTTTAATGTTCATTCACCATCAAAACAACCGCAGCAACAATTTATAGATTTAAATCAAAAATTATGGAAAATATTCGCCCTCCATTAACTGGTAAAAAAGATCCAAGCACAATTAGAACCAATCAATATTTTTATAAACCAAATTAATTAATTATAAATTTAAAACAATTATAATAAAAAAATAAAAACTATTAGAAATTTTTTATTAAATAATATATCGAAAAGTGATTTAACAATTACTTTAATATAAAATTTCTTTTTCATTTTATTTATATTTATTTTTTTTTAATTTTAATTTTAATTTTAATTTTATTATTATTATATTTCATTTTTAATATTTTTTTTCTTTAATTTAAATAAAAACTAAAATTAGAGAAATTGAAAAGAAAACAGTGAATATATATTATATATACACAGTATACAGTTTATTGTAAATTTGCAAAAGATGATTTATCATTACTTCCAGAACTATATAACATTAAATCAATAAAAATTGTACATGCAACAAACAATATTCTTTGTTTACCATTTGAATCTGGTGGAAATGTTAGGGTATAGTTATCCAATTCAGAGACACACTCTTTAAAACCAGAAAAATCTTTATAAATTGTACCAACTTCTTCTACATCGTTTAGTATATTATATTCATTATATTTATAAATACCAAGAGTGTAGTGATAGCTTTTACACATATTACAAAACTCTCCTATTATACTAAACTGTGGATTTGAATCTTCATCAAAAACAGTAAATTTAGGGACACAACATGAAAAATCTTCTCTAATTCTTCCTATAATATTTCCTGCATTGGTTGTATCTTTACCATTAAAAATATTAAAATCTTGATAACAAGATTCGATGCAGCAGCATCCTAAAAAACCTTTACTAAAACAATGAAAGTTTCTTTTTATTTTTAAAATTTCTTGATCATTCCATGGTGTAGTGATTGACATTTTTAATGATCTTTTAGTATTACAAAAAAATAAATTAGATTTAGATTGTTCATTTTCTTTTGCTTTTAAAATAACTAATTATAATAAATCTAAAATTAATAAAATATAACTAAAATTATAAAAAAAAATATTATTACTTACCATTGTTATTAGAGTCATAAACATTAAATTGTAACTCTATGGGACAAAAGAATTGATACCACATAGAGTGTCTTGATTTTTGTTTAAAATATAGTTTATTATAATTTAATAAAAATCCAAATGGATCAATATTTGATTCCTCCATTCTTTAGAATTATAATTAATACAATAATAATAATAATAAATAAACTAAAAAATTTGTAAAAAAACATTATCATTTTATTTTATATTTAAATAAAAAAAATAAAAAAAATAAAAAAATTTATTATCTTAAAAAAATAATTAACTTTTATTTTTTGTGTTAAAATAATTTTATCGATTAATCTGATAATTTTTTTTATAAAAATAAAAACTTAATAAAACACATAACAAATGAAAAATAATAAAGTGTTCTAAAAATAATAGGGTAGAAACATAATATTATTTCTTTTTTTTTAAAAATATTTTAATTATTTTATAACCACACTTTAAAAAAAATAAAATAAAGTTTTATAGTTTTAATATTTTTATTTAGGATTTGAATAAATCTATTGTTTAATTTTAAAAATACAATTTTTTTGACATGATATTTATTGTGGAGCAATTGGTGGTGGAATTGGGGCAAGAATTGGTTGGGCTATATATTGTCTTGGTGGATTTGGTACAAAACCAACAGTTTTAAAGAATGAAAGTAATTGACCTGGAATTTCTTTTAAGGTTTCTTGTGCTAATAAATCGATATTTGATGAGAATGCTGTAAATGGAACGAATTGAACAATATCTCTGCTTGCTTTATTACCACTATAATCTTTTAATGTACCATCATCACCATCTAATCTGTTCATATTATCAAATGAACTTGAACCTACGCCAACACTATAAATTAAAGGATTAGTAAAAATTTTAAATAATAAAAAAATTAAAGAAATATTTACATTACGACTGATAATGGCATAGTTGAAGCAATTACTAAATTTCTAACGGTTTCGTCCATATCTGAAATTTCACCATCGGTTAAAATTAAAAGTACAGTGTATTTTTGGTTTTGTTGGTTTTGACCTTCTGATGCTTTTTTCATTGCATGTTGAATAACTTCGCTGAAATTGGTTGGACCTGAGAAAGAAATCTTTCTAATATTTTCGGTATATAATCCTAAAACACCTTGAACACCAACTGCTGCTGGTATATTTGTATCAAAAGAGAATGGGAAGCAATGTGATACACCAAAACTGCCTGCGAATGAACCACCGAAACCCATAACATCAATCATACCATCTGAATCGTATGGAGCTAAAACTGAACCTACTGACATAATAGAACGGGCATATTGACTTGGTTGTGCTGGGGTATTGTAATGAAGTGAATGTACACTAGAAGTTAAACCATTGCTACCTGTACAATCGATTGCAACCATTAATGAAATTTCGCAACCACCTGCTAAATAGTCGAGGAATGTGTGTTTCTTTTCTAATTTAGCATCATAGAACTTTAAAATACCTGAATTGTGGTAACCTGATTTGCTAACTTTCTTTGGGTTAATAATTGGGAATTCTTTTTGACCTCTGAGTACTTGATCTGCATTTAAATGAACAATACCGATTAAGTCGTGTGAACCAATTGAATCATAATCGTATACCTCAATTGTTAAATCTCTAAACATATCACCACCATTAAATGATTCTAATGGCATATAAATTGGTTTCCAAACTGGATTCAAAGTATTATTGATAACTTCACTTTGATAAACCAATACTGGGGCGCCACCACCTTGAACAGCTTTATAAATTTTGAAATATGGATCACTTTTACCATTCCAATCCTAAAGAAATATATAAAATAAAATGTTTAATATTAGTAATTGATAAATTTATAAAATAAAATAAATGAACAAATAATTACTTTAGCATCAACATTTGAAGCTTCCATTCTAAGATAAATATCATGATTTGTATTTTGGAGCTCTTCAGCAGTAATTAAGATATTACCAGTAGTTTTACCATTATGTTTTAATTCACCAACCATTCTTCTACCAGGTCTTGATAATATATTACTTAATGTAGTTTCCTAATTTTTTTAAAAAAAAAAAAAAAAATTAATATAAAAATTTTAAAATAATTAAAAAAAGAATAATACATACAAATGTGCCAATTTTATCATTTTCATCAGCCTTTACTATTTCTCCATCAATATCGACACAGGTAAATTTGAGATTTTGAACTTCTTCAAAGAAATAATCGATCATAATTGGCTTCTTAAAGTCTGGACTTAAATTATTTTTAATTTTCTCTGTACTTCCTAAATATTTAACTAGACCACAATTTCCTTTTTGTTCGTGAATTGAAACCTGTGGATCGGATTTTGAGACCACATCAAGATTCTTTAAATGGCTGCAACTAATTCTTAACTCGATTCTTGAATTTGGCACTCTGTTGGTATTTGGAATCATTTTTTTTTATTTTATAAAGTAATTATTATAAAATATTACAAGTTTTAAATAAAAAAAAAGTGGGTGTATAAAAATATAAAAAATATTCAAAAATAAAAATTTAAAATAAAAAAAAAAAGAAAAAAAAAAAAGATATTTTTTTATCAACTGATCACAAAAAAATTAATGTTTTTTTTTTGAACAATGTTGCAACATTTTTGTGTTATTTGAATATATTTTTAGTATAAAGGTTTGAATACAATAGAAAAAATGGAGAAAACGTGGATTGGTATCTAAGTATTGTTTAATAATAATAATGAACTTAATTGGTTTATAAACTAAAAAAAAAGCTGCACAAAAATTTTATTATAAAAGATTTTATAAAAAAATAATTGATTTGGTGAAAAAAAAATTTTGAATTTTTTTTTCCAAAATTTTTTTTTTTTAATTTTTTTTTGATTTTTTTTTAAAATTTATTTTTTTTTATTCATTTTAAGTTTATTATTAATAAATAGAAGTAATATGATAAATAATTAAACAATATGATAAATAATAATAGTTTTGATCAATTATTTTTTTCAGTTTGGAGGAATGTGTATCTTCTAAGTGAAATTCAAAGACACCACAGGTTATATAAAATAAATAATATTATAAATATAACAGAGTCAATGGATCAACTTAGATACCATCCACATAGAAGATATGCAAGCACAGTTGGAATCTATATTAACGAACCATTAGAGCCACGTGGAAAAGTGATACCTTATGGAACAACGGAGTTGGTATTTTCAGGTTCTTTTAACATGCCAATTAAACATGGTGATATTCCACCAACTGTTACCATTTTGTACATTTACAATGAATATATTCCACCAATCGACTTTGCATCAGTTATTCCATCAAGCGTTACAAAATTAGATTTCTATAGTTATAATCAACCACTCAAACCAAATATGTTACCACCAAATATTACCAGTTTGTCCTTAAAGCTTGATCAAGAAATCGATATTGGCACTTTTCCAAACTCATTAACGTATTTAGACCTATATCAATTTTCAAAAAATATTATTCCTGGTTCCTTTTGCTCAATTGTAGAATTAGCACTAGACTCATTCGAATTGCCTTTGAAGGTTGGTGACTTACCAAAAACATGTACCACATTAAATCTCTACGAATATAATCATCCATTTGAACCCAATATTCTTCCACCCCATTTAAAAATATTAAGGTTATCAAAATATAATCATCCAATACCACATGGTTTGCTTCCAAAAACAATTACCGAGCTTAGTTTTAATCACTTTAACCATCCAATATCAAGCTCTCTATTATCACTAAAACAATTAAAAATTCTTTTTATGATCCATTTCAACCAACTTTTAAAGCCAAATATACTTCCATCATCATTAACCAAACTATGTTTAATGGAATATAACCATCTATTGGAACCACAAGTAATACCACCAAACGTAATACATTTAGAACTATCATCATATAATCATAATCTCAGTTATAATTTATTTCCAAATTCTGTGCAGTTTTTATCACTAAATAGTTACAACAATCAACTGTTACAATACCATTTACCATCATCAATCACAAAGCTTCATTTTGGAGAACATCCTCTTGAATTTCATGCCAATTCAATTCCGTCATCAGTTAAAATTTTAAAATTACCAACAGCACAACCACCTCTTCAAAATGGAGTTATTCCAAACTCAGTAGTTGATTTAACAATAGGAAATAATCATCCTCTAAAAGTAGGTGAATTACCCGAATCTCTTACCAAACTGACCCTTGGCTATAAATTTAACCAGCCATTAGAATCAGATACTATTCCCCAATCCGTTACCGAAATAAAACTATATATACAATATTCACATCCAATACCTGAATCTTTATCAAGCAGATTAAAAATTATAAAAAAAAGTGTATATTCATAAAACTCATTTAAAATAAAATGATTAAAAAAAAATAATTGAATACAATTTTTTTTTCCTTATCTAAAATAACTATTATTGGTTATTATTGATTTTTTCCTTAATAATTAAAAAAATAAAAAACTCTTTTGTCAATGAATTTAAATAAATATTAATAAACATAAATTATTTCATATAAATTTTATTTTATTTTTTCCTTTTTTTTTTTTAAAAAAATCTTTTTAATGATATAATTTATATTATTATTGTAAGAGATAGTATATTTATAAAATTTTAAGAAGAATTGGGGGTTGGCTATTAAGGTTATAAATAATAAAGTGAATTTTGATGATTATATATTACAATGTTTTTTTTATTTTTTTTTTTTATTAGTTTTACCACACTGCATACAAGTTGGGCACTACACTCTGGCAAAAAATCAATGCTCTTTCTATTCTTCTTTCGAATTTTCTCTATTCTTCATTGGTTTTTTTTTTTTTTTTTTTTTTTTTTTTTTTTTTTTTTTTAAAAAGGGAAAAAAATAAAAAAGCAAATGCTTTAAATTAATCAGTAAAATCCTCAGAAAATAACTAGATTCGGAAACTTCAGAGACTGGGATACTGCTTTTTTGATGTGCCCTCGAATTTCCAAACAGTCAAATCTCCGGGAAGATTTATTCATTAAAAAAGCTCCCCATTCGGGAATCGAACCCGAGGTACCAGTGTGAAAGACTAGAGTGTTACCGACTACACCAATGAGGATATTTTTGATAGGGGATGACTTATGTGTTTGCCTGGTCCGGTTACACATCAAAATTTAAATCTTTTAATTTACTTGTAAATTTAATAAACCTTTTCTCCATTCTAATTGAAGGAAATAGAAAATCTTGTAGTTGACAATTTATACAAAATCTGATCCAGCATTATAATCACCCACCTCCAGTTTTTTATTTAATTGTTTAAGACAAGTCATATCCTTAAATGAGAAAAAGTTAACACGATTTTAATTCAAATTTATTTATTATTTTAATTTTTTTCAATATAATTTCTTTTTCTATATTTTTCGATCTCTAATCAAGTTTAACTTTGAATTCTGATTTAATACACCCACTTTCTAATTTTTCTATTTGAGAATTATTTTAAGTTGAACAATGCATTTTTTACCAAGTTTTGCCATCAATATTTAAAAATTTCATACCCTGTTTTTAATATTATATTATGTTTCTTGAATTTTTTGATGGAAAAAGAAGAAATAAGATAATACTTTATAATAAATAATTTATTATCAATTGTATATTTCTAATAATTAATGTAATTATTTATTATATTTTTATGTATTAATAGATTTTGATAAATAAAAAAGAATTATTTATTGAAAAAATAAATTCATTTACATGTATTTTTAAATTTAAATATTGTGCTTATTTACAAAACTGCTTTTTTGTAATAAAAAAGAAGTTAGAAAATTTTAAAAATAAATTTGTATTTAATTTCACAATTAACTTAAAAATAATATAATTTTTATTTTCTATGTTAGATATCTCGGATTCTAACATGTTATTAATAATATACATTCTATATATTTATTTTTTATTGATTTATTTATACTTTAAAAGTTTTTTTTTTTTTAAAAGTGAAAATAGTTAAAAGAAAATGCTTTAAATTAATCAATAAATTTTATTTAATGTTTTTAATATAAATTTTTAGAGGAAATATTCTAAACTATTGATATTTGGTTATAAATTGATATTGAAAAAAGTATTCTTCATTGATGTTGGTGATTGATTGTGGTTGTTTGGCTTGTTTATTCTTGATTTCTTTTAAACCTTTTATGTAGTCTAAAGTGGCTAACTTAGTCCATTTTGTGATTAAGTTGTTGTAATCTAAAACTTAATGTAATATATTCAAGTTCTTTAATTGTGTTTTCTTGCTCGTCGTATAATTCTTTACATAACCAAATCCAAATATGATGGAATACTAAGGTTATAGCATTTCTATAGGCGAAACATCTAGTTAAATCGAAGTCAAATGCTTTATAGTTCCATTGGAAGTGTGATTTGTGAAAATTGGTGTTGTTGTAATCCATATTTATTTAACCATCTGTTGGGATTTTGTATGATTTATTTTTAATTGATATACCCCCACTTGATCTTGTTATGCCGAGTGACCGATTGACTTTTCTTCCAGATTTTAGTCATCAGTTTGTTATTGTGTTTATTTTTGTTTGGTATATGTTTAATACTTTTATAAGTTTTGCCACATTGCATACAAGTTGGGCAGTAACGTCAATTCGTGTGTGATTAGGAAAACATAAAGAAATATTATCTCCGGGAAGATACACTAAATTAAAATATGGAGGAGAAGGGTATCGATCCCTTGTCCCGTGCTCTTTCTTTGTTGCGAAGAACGTATCTTACCTTTAGACGACACCCCCAATACATTTTTGTAAAAATTTTTGTATTATTTTCGAAAAATTTAAAACTGATATTTTTATAACAAAAATTAATTTATTATCATCTAAAAACTATAATTTAGAAGTAAAAAAATCAAAAATATTATTAATTGTTATAAAAAAGAAAAAAACATTAAAAAAAAATAATAATGGTATTAAATAAATCTAATTTAATATCCATTTATTTTGTTTTAGTTAAATATAAATTTTAATTTTTAATTTAATTACTTTTATTTACAAAATTTATAATAATTGATTAGAATTTATAAATGGAAACTTCTTCTTTCTCTGGGTTTGTTGGTAATACTATTTTTGAATAACTTAAAACGAAGGTAATGTTTTTTATAAAGAACTGCAACAACAACAACTATTGCAGCAATAGCAACACATGGAACAACCACAGCTACTGTAATTATTTTATAATTTGATTTCGATCCACATTTATCTTTATAAGTTCCTGATACAAGCATTCCAAAATCTGGATCTAATATACATGAATCAACACAACTTTTTTAAAATAGAAATAATATAATTAATAATAGTTTTAAAAGAGATTCGATGTGAATTGGTAATAATCTATTAAACAATAACTTACTGTGGTAAATTTAAACCTATAATTAATTCTAAAGTTTCATTATTTGTTGATACAACTGATGTTCTAGTTGGTGTTACCCTTCCATCTGAAATTAATCTACCAATGAATCTTGAGACTACATTTTTAGAATCTTTTGAAACCTGTAAATAGTTAAAATTTGAATCATTATCTAATTGGTCTGTTACTTTTAATTCTTCAGAGTTACAATCATTTGAAAGTGATTCCTTTTCGTAATTTGATTTAATTCTTAATTGAAGTGTATTTAAAACACTTTCATATTGATAGTTTTTTATTGAAATACCTGTTTTTAATGAACCAGAATCCACTGAGAATGTAATACCTGCAAACTCGAAATCTTTCTTTTTTCCTCCAATTATTTCTTCGATTGTGTATTCTACTGTACAATTTACACTTGAAATATATTGTGAAAACAATGCTATGGTACCTTTAGTTAATCCATCACCTTCCTCGATAATTGATGCTATAATATTTTCGGTGTTGTTTAATGGATGTTCTTTGACAATACTACCATCAACCGAAACCTCGACCAATGAAATAATATTAAGTTGATAATTTAATTTTTCGTTTGAAATTGATGAAGCACCAGTCTTTAAGTCAATTTTAGGAATAGATGGTTTATCTTTGTTGATTTTAGAACTGCAATCAAAACCTGTATATGCATCGCTGCAATTGCATGAACCTATTTTGGTGTCACATTCACCATTATTTGAACAGTTGTTTGGACAGTCAAAGCTGAGCTTAATGTATTTGAATAAATCTTTACCATATGCTGTTAAATCTTTGTCGTTAATGGTTACGCTTTGGAATCCAGTACCTGCACCAACTTGACAGCTGATAACTGAGTCATTGTAACTGTGAACATTATTACAATCTAATTTGCCAATGGTGACATTGAATTGAGGGGTAATAGTACCAAAATAGCCATATAAATATACAGTACCACCATTAACAGTTGTGGATTCTACTGAGCCAATATATAATCTTGATTTTTGGCATTGATCACCATTGGTTTGAGTATCACATTCACACTTTTTAGTTGAAACGTTACATTTACCATGGATTAAACTACATTCGGGATCACATAATGATTTTTGATAAGTGAGGCCATTTTCTAAAGTATTACCCAAATCTCTATCGGTTACAGTGACATTATGCTTTCCTCTACCTGGACCTATGGTGCAATTAATTGAAATATTGGATACAATTAAATCTAAGCATTCTTCAGAGCCTATGAAAACTTTTAAATCTTCTGTAGTTGTACCAAAATAACCCTCTATAGTTATAATACCTCCTTCGGCTGGTGGTGAGCTAACTTTATCGATTTTAATTCTTGATTGGGAACAATCATCACCAGAAGATTGATCATCACAATCGCATTTACCTTGATATTTATCGCATACACCATGAAGAGCGTTACACGATGGATCACATGTAAGATATTGATAAGTAAAACCATTTGCCAAAGTATTACCCAAATCTCTATCTGTTACGGTAACACTATATGTACCCTCACCTTCACCAATTGTACATTTAATTAAAGTTGTATTTACAAAGGTGATTTCACACTCCTCATCGCCAATATCTACAGCAAGATTTGGAGTAGTTGTTCCAAAATAACCAAAAATAAAAACTTCACCACCTTTAATAGTTACTGGCTCGACACTATCGATTTTAATTCTCGATTGGGAACAATCATCACCAGAAGATTGGTTATCACAATCGCATTTACCTTGATATTTATCGCATACACCATGAAGAGCATTGCACGATGGATTGCATGTAAGATATTGATAAGTAAAACCATTTGCCAAAGTATCACCATAACCATTATCATCCACTGAAACGCTATATGTACCCTCACCTTCACCAATTGTACAAACAATTAAAACTTTACTGACCGAATTGATTACACAATTTTGACTACCAATAGTTACAGCAAGATTTTCTGATGTAGTACCAAAATAACCGTGGATAGAGACTAAACCACCCTTAATAGTGGATGGGTCTACACTGTCGACTTTTATCCTTGATTCTGTGCATGTGGCACCTGTAAACTGATCGTTGCAAACACATTTACCAGCACCTGGATTACAGACACCATGTTCATTGCAATCATTTAAATGAGAACAAGTTTTACATGCATATTTGGTGACAACGTTGGCGTTATATACACAAATTGGTGATTCGTTATTTAAATTTTCATCGGAAAAAAACTCTGTATTACTATCACATGTCATATTGATATTAAAGGTTCTGGTGGAGCAACCTGGAACTAAATCACCATATTTTGATGTATATTTTAAAATTAAACCATAATCTGTGAATGTTGCTACTGGGGCAATTGATGTATCACCAAGTTGGTAATAATTAGTACCTGCTTGTTGACAAGCATTGTTATCATATGTACTAATTGATCCTTGTGTACATTTATCTATTTTTGAACAAAAACCATAATATGCGACAAAATTTGTTTTAAAATTTGATGTTTGATAAATAGTGGAACTATAAAATAATAATAATAATAATAATAATTAATAACTAAATACAAAATTAAAATAATAATAATAATACATACCCTGAAATACTTGTAAAGTCAACAGAAGGTGCGCCTGATGGGTCTGTGTATATGCATGATGAAATGACTTTTTCGATTGTAAAAATTATAAAAAAAATATATTTTAATTTTTTTATCATTTTATTTTTTTTTGATTTTTATTTTTTTTTTTTTTTTTAAAAAAATTTAATTTAAATAATTTAAATAATTTAAATAATTAATTTAAATAATCTTTTTTATATCTTTAGAAGATTTTTCATTAAAAATTTGAATAAATAATAAATAATAAATAAATAAAAAATAATAAATAATTAATAAATAATAAAAATATAAAAAATAAAGGTTTTTTTTTTTTTTTTTTTTTTTGTTTCGCGTAAAATAAAAAAAATAAATAAATAAAATAAATTAATTAATTATGGAAATATTTTTAGAAAAAAATTAAAAAACTACGTTTTTTTTTTTTATTTTTTATAATTTTTTGAAAAAAACCATTCTGCACATAGTTATTATTTGCGGTTTTTCTTAAAGCCTAAAGACACAGGTGTTGTGCAATTTCACACAATTTATAGTAGCCATATTTTAAACAAATAAAAATATAATTTCACATTGTATATAAAGATCTTTTTTACCGATCTGTATAAAATCTATTAACTTTCAGATAGATATTTTTTTTTTTTTTTTTTTTTAAAAATAATCGGTAAAAAATTATAGCACACAAATTATTTTTGTGATTTGATTCACAAAATTTTTTTAATGTGTTGTTTCTTTGGATTTGTTTTGAATATTAAATGCGGTAAAAATCTTAATTGTTTTTTTTTTTTTAAGCTTAAAAAAAATTCTTTTAATTAAAATTATTTAAAATATAATTAAAATTTTACATAAAAAAAAATAAATAAAATAATACCAAAAATAATTTTAGAAAAATAATAAACTTTAAAATAACAATTAGTATGATTAAAATGTAATATTATTATTGGCGGTAAAGGAAAATATATAAAAAAAAAAAAATAAAAGATCAAATATAATTTATTTCTAAAACATAATATTATAAATTTTTTTTATAAAATTTTTTTTTTAAATTTTATTATATTATATTTTTTTTTATTTATATAATTATATATTTTATAAAATAATTTATTTTATTTATTTAATTTAATTATTAAAACTATTAATTATTATAAATTTATTTATTAAATGATTATTTAATTAAATTTATAAATAATTTAGTTTTTAAAATATTGATTGATTTAGCTTTGCTTGGATATGCTTTGCCAGTGAGTCTAAGTGGTGGTTTTTTACCTGCATGATCCAATAAATGTTTCAACTTCTATTAGTTGTTTTTTGGTGGTGATGTGATGTGATTTTTTGATATTGAGTTTTTGGTATCTTCTTCTGATGTATTTACCAACTCTTGCTCTGGATGTTCTGCAATTTTTGACCCATTACTTATTGAGTTATCATCGGAGTAGTTAGAATATATTGAATCCTTAGATGGTTGATTACTGTTGCTAATTGGGGCTTTTGAAAAATGTACATTACTTGATTTGGCCATATCATAGTTTTTTTTTTTTTCAAAGCTAATTTGGATTTTGAGTCTTTTAATTAATTTTTTATTTCTTCTAATTGCTCCGATGCATTAGCTAGTTTTGCCTCGGCATGTACTCTAAGGTCACTACATTTTTTAACTTGAACTTGGATTTGATTATAAAGTTGTGAGTTTGCTTCCTCAAGTTCCAAAGTTTTCTAAATTAAAAAAATAAAATAAAATTAATATTAGAAATCAGCAAAATGAAATTATGATGATGTGAATAAAAAATATTTATAATTAACGAGTTTTAATCATTAATTATTAATATTAATAATTATTTCTAATCAAATATTTACCTTTTTAAATTGTGCATTTTCTTCCAAAGCTTTTCTTAATTTTAATGAATCTGGTACTGGTAAAGGTTGCTTTAGTACCTCTTCCATTTTATTTTCATAATCTAATAGCAAATCTTTTAGTTTTGAAGATTTGATTTGTTTTTTTTTCAATTTATTTTGAATTTCCTCATTTTCTTTTAATAGTATAGCTTTTTCTTTGGAAATCTATATATTTTTAAAAAATAAATATTAATAAATTATAAAATATAGTTTTATGTTAAATGAAACTTACCTTTAAATTAATTTCTTTATTATAGTTTTCCAAGAGACGATCTACATCCTCTTTAGTAAACATTCCATTATTATTGGTTTGTTGTTGTGGATAGTAATAACGGTTGAGGATGATTGTGTAGATGAGGGAATTAAATACAGAATAAACAAAAATAAAAAAAACAATAACTAAATTATCTAAACTAAACATTTTATTATGATTGCTATTAAAAAAGAAGCAGTGATTAAATAAATATATATACAAATAAAATTTAAAAAATTTATTTACAAACAAAAAATACAAAATTATTAACAAAAAAATAAAAAAAATAAATAATAAAAAAATATTTACTTGATTAAAACTAATAAAATATGATTATGGTAATGTAAAAAAATTAAAGGTACAAAAAAAAAAAAAATATTATATAACAAAGAAAAATAATATGATAAATAAGAAAAAAAAAAATAGAAAATATAACAAAATTATTATAAAAAAAATATAAAAAAAATTAAAAAAAATTAAAAAACAATACAGTACTGTTTATTTTATAATTTTTATAGGTACACATAAAGTTTACCTATTCTTATTTAAATTGAATATTATACTTTATATTATTTGATTCTCTCTCTGATATTTGAAATACCTACCATACTTTTGATTGTAAAAAAAAAAAAAAAAAAAAAAAAATAATAATTTAACATTTATCTTTAATTTTATTCATAGAACTAAGTTTAATATTTTTAATAATTTATAAAAAAATAAAATAAAATATATTTAATCAAAGAAAAAAAAAGAAGTGAAAAAAAGAAAAAGCAAAAGGAAAAGAAATAGAGATATTAAAATAATAAAAAAAAGCTTTTTAATTTTTTTCAAATTTTAAAAAATAATTTTTTTTTATTTCACTTTAAATTTTAACAAACTGAAAATAGTAGATTAATATAATTACCACCACTTCGTATACAGTAACCCATTTTATAATTATAATAAAAAATAAAAAGCTCAATTGATATTAAAATTTCCCAATAAAAATTTTTTTTTTTTTTTTTTTTTTTTTTTTAATAAATTTTTTTAAAACTTTAAATACACAATATGTGGCACCCATAAGGTGCCATAGAGCATATACAGCTTTTCAATATGGCATTTTTAACAGATAAATACTAAAAAGTAAAAAATAATCTAAAAGAAAAAAAATTTAATAAAAAAAAGAAAATATAACAAATCCAAAATCAAAAGAAAATGTAGAATTATTTTTTACTATTATTTTTTTATATAAAAAAACATTTTGTTCCACAGTATTTAAAATAGATCTATAAATAGACCCAATCACATTATAATTTTATTTTCTAAAGAGAATTTATTATTTATTATTTATTTTTTATTTTTTATTTTTTTATATTTTTATTTTTTTTTTATTACTATTTGTTTTTTGGTTGTTATTTATTTTTATATAAAGTGCTAATTATTTCTATTTACAAAAAAAAATGGAATGAAAAGAATGAAAGAATTTAAAAAGAATAGTCAAGACTTGATTAGGCTGTATTTTGAATGGATGTAGTAAAATTTAATCTGGGCTGTATGTAAAATGATTAAAACCATTAATATTTTTTATATTATATAATTTATAAATATATAATTACCTAATAGTTTGTTTGCTTGAATACTACTTTGTACTATTTTTTATTGATTTTAAATCCCAAAGGTAAATTTAATATGGGATAAAAAATATTAATGAATTTTAAAAAAAGAAATTTCAGATAATCATCAATGAATAAAATAATAATAATAATATTTAAAATTTAATTTTAAAAATAATTTTTATAAAATTTTATTTATTTTAATTTTTAAAAAAGAATATTAATTTTTTATAAACAGGTGTGGAACGGTGGCATTTAATTTTTCAATCAAAATGAATTAAAATTGGTTTTAACCTTTGCTATAACCATTCACTTTGAATGATTATGATAAAAATTTGTGGCTAACGATTAAAACAAAAAGAATATAAAACATACCAGAACCAATGTTGTTGATTTAAAACTACTATAAAAAAGTAACAATGTTTGAATAAAAAAAGTTTTTAATATTAATAATATGCAATAGTGAATTAACTAATTCATTAAATACAAACATTTGATTTTAAAAAATTACTTAAAAACACAACAGGGATGCTGTTTTAAAAAAAAAAAAATTGATTAATAAGTTTTAATTATTTGTGAATTGTATTTCTAATTAGAAATAAATTATTAAATACAAACCTATGATTTTGTAATTCTTTTCAATAACTTATTGGTTATTACTAGAAGATTTGCATACAAATAAAATTATATTTTTATTTTTTTATTTTACCAACCTATGGTTGTATTATGGGAATCCAAATCTCAACTACCATTGTACAATGGTTATTATAGGTGCTGGGGTACTAACAACTGCTTCTTATGTCGTTGTATTAATGGTTTTATAATTTATATGTCTTTATCTTATAATACAATATATTTATAATAGTATTCGAAGATTATTACAGTATTTTCAAGATTAATACAACGATTAAAAGTATTAGACTAAAAAAATTCAAAAAATCTTAAACAAAAAAGTATTTGTTTAATCTTGTTGACGACAAAAGAAACAATAGTAATTACACCAGCATCTATAATAACCGTTGCAGGAATTGATAATATGTTAGATTCCTTGGGAAATGGGGTTCCTCTTTAATTATATAGAAATAAAAAATTAATAAGTTGTTCAATAAATATATTCTTTTTTATATAATATTATAATTACAGTAATATGTTAAGTTGTTTTTTAAAGCAACTGAAACATAAATATTTTTGATTTTTATCAACAGAATTTAGTAAACATGTTATTACTTCATAACCCTTAAGTACGCTAGGCCATATACATTGTTCCTTATCAATGAAAACTTTTAGACCAATTCTAATGAAATTATCACCAAAAATTTTTATTAAACGATTATCACTTTTACTGGGAGATCCATAAACAGTTGGTGGGTAAAATGAAAATGTAATATTGTCAGGATTTATTGCATTTCTACCTTTAATGCTCATGAAAATATTATGATTGTCCTGATGTGGTTTTTCTTTCACCAATACCATCTAGTTTAATTTCTTGACCTGAATTACCTTTAACATTACATTTTAATATTGTATTATCTTCATTTATGGTTATGTTGTTACATGGAATACCTGATGGAGTTCCTCTTTGAGATCTAAATGAAACAAAATGAATTTGTAATTTTAAAAATAAACTCAATCCCCTGTAAGTGGAGGAGGAGTTCATTTAGATCTAAATGAACTTCACCTCCACTTACAGGGATTGAGTTTATTTTTAAAATTACAAATTCATTTTGTTTCTGTATATTTTGATGATCTGGTATTCCAACAGTTATATCCAAATAGTGAAGTCCATGAAGTAATTTGGGTGTCATAAATTGCAAACACGAATCGTTAACATTTGAAATTTTAATTTGTGTTTCACCAGTTACTATTGATATTTTATTTTGATCTCTTCCAAAATTATAACCAAATAGTGTTACCAATTCACTTATATTATATTCAATACCAGAAACTAACGGACTATTGTAACTGAAAGGGTTTTTCTCTACTATAGTATACTTATCAATGCTAACTGATAATGGCAAGTCCTTTCCAACTCCTGGTTCCAATAAACATTATAGATGAATACCATCATTACTATTTGGGTTTTAACACTTTGCAATATTTTCACCCCTACCAACATATATGCTTATAGGTAAATTTACAGTTGATGATCCTTCAATTTTTTTAGTATGAAATGAAACACCAGTAATTGTAACTATTTGACCAGTTGTATTTGATGTTGAGATGTTTTTTTCTATTGGTAAAAATGAAAGATGGCCAACATTTGGTTTTACAATTTCATTATCATTTTTAGATAAAATAACGATATATCCAGGGTAAGCATTGAGTGGAACATTAACGACCATTTTATTTTCTTCTTTACTAATTATAGAGCAATTATGTTCTATAATTTTAAAAGTTTTATCAGGAATCATAACTGAAACCATTGTAATTGATTTTTCATCTAAATATTTACCAATGATAGTAAATTGAGCTTCACCATTTGAGGGGAAAGTAGTTTGGTTTACATATTTTATAGATGGGCTTTCATAAGAAAAAGTACCAACATTGGTACTATATTTTTCATCAATTATTTTATATTATATGGAAGAGTAATGCGATATCCTGATAGTTTATTTGTGGAATTATCAAATGCCCTTGAATATATTTGAAATCTTTAAAGATAGTTAAGTTACATTTTCACTGCATACTATTTTTTCTTGATAATAGCATTGTGAGGATAAGTTTTTACACAAAGACAGGAATATATATATATAAATAATTAATTTCATCTTTAATATATAATAAAATAATAAGTGATAAAAAAAAAAAAATTTTAATAAAAAATTTTTTTTTTTTATAAATAAAAAAAAAAATTATATTAAAAATATTTTTTTAAAATAAATGGAACAGTTTAATATAAACACCCATTCCCCAATATATGATGATATTGGAAGCACAGTTAAGTTAAAAAAAATTTTCAAAATTACATCTAAAAATAATTTTTTTCACCCACTCCCACTTTTTTTCACACTAAAAACACTTTTTTTAATATGTAAAGTTATAATTATCAATATTTTTATTAGAAAATAAAAATTGTTATTTTTATATTGAGCTTCATTATTTGATAACTGATTTTTTTTTTTTATTTTTATTTTACTTGTTTTTTTTTATTTTTTTTTTTTTTTTAATAGATACAATAAAAATTTTTAATATTGAATCTATAAAATAGTTTTTAAAAAAATGTATAAAGAAAAAAATAATAATAAAATAGTAATTTTTGTGTTTTTGGTTCATATTTCAATTTGTTTTGGCATGAGTGAGTTTTAAATTCTTTAAATTATATGATTTTCTTTAATATTATAATTAAATTTAGATATCTAAAATTCATTCTACAATTAGAGAAGTAATTGTTGACTTTGCAGGATTATATGACAGTGTTCCACTTAATGTAAAAAATATTATGAGTCGGCAGCAAGATATTACCATTATCCATACAAACTGATGAAACTGAATCGGTATATAAGATTCCGTTCTTTTTATTTTTTTTAAGAAATAAAGTGTCAATAAAAGTTACATTTATCCATTTTCGGAAATAAAATTATTTTTTTAATTATTTTTTATTTTAGATAGATTATGCTGATTACCTTTTATTAATCAAAAATAATAATAATATAAATTTAAATTTTTTTAAAAAAATATATATAAAAATTAAAAAAAATAAAAAAAATAAAAAAAATAAGAAAAGACTATGTTTTGTTTGTAATATCTTTATTATCAATTTTATGAATATGAGAATGTAGAGCATATATATATGATTGAGCTTGAAAAGACGATGAGTAGTTAAAATAGAGGACTTGTAGATGAATAAAAAATAAATTTTAGCAAAAATGTAACCTTCACATGTTAATTGAGCAGGAGCTGGTATCTTTTTGAATTTCTTCTGATAATAATGAGTACAAATTGGGTTGTTTGAATGAGAAATTGACACAACCATTCTCTATTACTACTTGATCTTGAAATGCCTAAACCTAAACATAATTTCTTTAAAGCTGAATTATTTAATTTGAGTCTGAATCTAAGATATGTATATATTTTTTCATCAAGGGTGCAAGCTTTAATTCCTTCTACCAAATCATAACTAATATCACTCCTTTCACATACAATTCTTTTAATTTGATCATCTGTAAAGTTAGTTGTTGATTTCTACTGTTTTGAATGAATAATTCTAATGAGTTTAAAATTAAATATGGAGATAATAGCTTTAATAATGAGCTTAGGAACATAAATAATCAAACATCAAATCTTTTTTATTTTGGTTTCTCTCCTCTGAACTATGCTGTTGTTGAGTATTACTAGAGGTTTTGAGATGGGTTATAAAAGGGTGTGATTTTAAAATTATTTGATTTGAGTATCTCTATTATATTTATTGTTGCTGTTTGATGAGCCAATCTGTATGTCTGATGTCATTTGTACTTGGGATGTATTGATATTGCTTTTGAATAGCCAGTTTGAAATTGATAATGATAATTTGAATCCTCCTTTTGTAACTTTGAATTGATTACCTGCAAATGTGAAGCCTTTATCTTTATCGTTTACTTTTTCTATTATTAATTTTATCAGACCCATATTGTTTATCTTTCTGACCATATTTAATCAAGTTTAGAAAGGTGATAGTTTGATTTATTTGATTGAAATTGATAATGATAATTTGACTCCTCCTTTTGTAACTTTGAATTGATTACCTGCAAATGTGAAACCTTTATCTTTATCGTTTACTTCTTCTATTATTAATTTTATTATTGCATTGGTATTGTCTTCATTAATTCTTATTTGATTGAGTGTGGTGACTGATTCTTGCTTGTTTGCAAATATCTAGTTGTTTGATAAATTGAATATTGTTATTTGTTGATTGCTAAAGTCTAATTCTATAATTGAATCGAAATTGAATATCCTATAACTTGTTTTTTATAACAATTATAACTGTTCCATTATTATTTGTTTCTGTTTCTGCTTGATTATTATTATTATTATTAATTGGTGATGAACGATCGAAACCTGTGTATTCTGAATTACATTTGTATGTACCTGTTGTTTTATCGCATATTCCATGTTCATGGTATTTAGATGAACATTCTTTTTCTGTGGTATAATATGGATATATGTTACCACTCCATGTGATTGTATTTTGTGTGAAATTGACTTTTATTGAACCAATATTACCTGTTCCGATTGTTGTTTTGATTATATTTAATTTGACACCAATCGATTCTAAATATTTGATACTTTAGAATTTGCTGATCTAAAAGTGTACAAACATTCTTTTATCGGGTTTTAAAATCTTCAATACCAGATTATTTGATATCGTAATTGCATACTTTACAATATTTATTCTTTCTTGAAGACTGTTCATAAATCAATTGGTTTGATGGTGTGTCTTTGCTAATGTTTGGGAATATATATATGTTCATTGAAAAGCTAAATATTTGACATCCTTTATCTTTTACAACTGCTTCACTGTTGGTATGCTTTATTTAATGGTGATATGTCTATGTGTAGTAATTTAGTGATTGTATTTAATTAGTATAAATTATATAAAACAATTGTTTAGAAATAGCAGTTAACTGTCTAATTATTTACCTTACCTGATGTGTCTTTGTATTTCGCTTAATATACATTAATGAAGGACATTATAATATATATATTGTTATTTATTTTATTTTTATTTAGTTTATAATAAAATAATGTTTATGGTGGTGCAGTATTATTTTTAGAAAATAAAAAAATAAAAAAAAAATAAAAAAATTAATTTTGAATTTTTTTTTTTTTTATTTAATTTATCATTTTTTGAATGTACTTTTATAATAATAATAATTACTTTTATATATCCAACCAAAAATTTTTAAAATACAGGTTAATTATATTTGGTTAATTTAGAAAAGATTTCAAACAAGATGGAAAAAATTTACTAAATGGTTTTTAAATAATAAAAAACAATAAAAATTTATTTTATTAAAAATTTAAATAAGCTTTAAAATTATAGATCTTTATTTTGATAATGAATAGAAAATTAACTAGGGATGGAAAATTTTTAATTCTATATAAAAATATTAAATGATAAAATTGATGATGAAGGTGGACCCGGATCTGTGACCAAATGACATTAATTTGTACTTAATAAAACGGATGAAAGTGTTAATTGTTTTTGTTGATGGTATTTAATTGATAAATGATGATAAAATAAACCCATTGTTGAAAATAAACTTTATAGGAAAGAATGCAATTAATTCTGGGTAAATGGATCTAAGGATTGAAATTTTGTTTTTTTTAAATTGATTAACTTGGATCTGGATTTGAAAGGCAGAATGAATAGAGTTGGATGGATTGCTTTTATTGTTTTTATATGACATGATTATTTTAAAGATTATTGTTTTTTATATTTTATTGTCATATTAAAGTAATTTATTATATTGTCTTTTAAATTAAATTAATTATTAAAACTATTTATAATATTTTTAATATATATTATTTAAATATTATTAAAGTTTGTAATATTTTCTATTATTATTATTATTATTATTTACAATATTATTTCTATCTATTTTAATTGTACTCTATATCTATTATAGTTTTATTAGTAGTATTATCTATTAAATTTATTGTTATTATTACTTTCTATATTTTTGATTTCCATAACTCTAATTTTATTGATATTTGAATCTGTATCCACTTCCTAAATATAACAATAACTATATAAATACCCTAATGAATGATGAATGACCTGAAAAAAAACCTTAATTAAAAGAAAAACTAAACCCCAATGAATGATGAGTAATAAAAATAAAACTAAATTTTAAATAAAATAATAAAACAACTCAAAATAAAAGAATTCTTTATAATACAATTTAATAAATAAATTGTTATTAAAAAACTTTTTATTGTTTTTCTTTTTTTCGTTTTTTTTAAATATACATTTTAATCATCCGAGATATTATTATTTAAACCATTTTTATCAACAATTAAACCATTACTATAGTTATCAATGCTTCTTTTTGAAACTCTATTTGTTTTGGAAACTGAAAATAGGGGTTGCATAGTTTTGAATAAAATATGATGAACATTTGGATTTAAATTTTCTTCTTTGGCTAATAATAGTTTAATTCTTGAACGTTGAACTGGAGCTTGGAAGCATGCAGGGCAGTTATCATCTATTACTGGCAAGCCCATTACCTTTGCGTAATGTCTTGTTTGATTTTCGCTGATATTGCACAATGGTCTGATAATTCTGATATCACCTTGTTCATTTAAATAATTTACCTTCATTGTACTAAGGATACCATTATAGAGAGCGCTCATTAAAAATGATTCAGAAAGATCATTTAAATGTTGACCCAAAGCTAAAACATTATAACCTTCCTTTCTACAAGTGTTGTATAGAATGCCACGTCTCATTCTACTACAAAAAGCGCAAATACTTTCTTTGTTTCCTTCTTTCATAATACACTTTGCAGTTTCCATAATCGATTGACTAACATAAAAGTATGGAATACCAATAGATGCGAAATATTTCTTTAATGGACTTGGATCGTAATCTGGACTTTGTGGATCAACTGTACAAGCACCAATTGTAAACTTTACTTTTGATCTTCTCTTTATATCGATTAATGTATTAATTAAAGTTAAACTATCTTTACCACCACTAACACCAACCATAATTTTATCGCCTTCATTAATCATACCATAACTTTGTATTGACTGACAAACATTTGAATGAACCTTTTTTTGAATTGTAACCTTTTCTTTTTTATTTCCTTCTAATCTTGGTATAAATGAAATACAATTACAACTTAAACATTCTTTAGATTGATTTATTTCATTCTGATTATTATCATTATTATTATTATTATTTTGATTTTGATTTTTACCATTTGTTACACCAATATGATCATGAAAACAATTAATACATATTCTACTTTTAACTAAACCTTCAATATCCTTCTTTGGTTTTAATGGACACATCATACCATCATTCTCTTTTTCGATTGGTTCTTTTAGTTCTCTTTCTAAAACCTGTTCTATTTGTAAAACCTGTTCTTTTTGTTCTTTTTGTTGTTTTATTTGATTATTTTGTTGTTGATAAATAAATTGATTTATTATATTATTATTATTATTATTATTATTATCATTTAAATTATTATTAAATTTAATTAATAAATTTGTTAATTCATTATTATTTAAATCTAATGTGCCTGGTATATAATTTTTATGTGGTTTAATTATAACTTCTCTGTTTATAGTTGATGAAATAACTGTTGAACCTTTTAATAAACCATTATATATCTCTTCATTTTCAAACACTGCGCTATTATTGATATCATTTAATAATTTTATTTTATTTGAAGAATCAGTTGGTAATGCAAACCATCTTAAACTATTTGCTTCTTTGGTTAACATTGATGATTGATCTGGTAAGATTTTAGGTTGATTTGAAATTAATTGTTTTAATAATATGTTTGCTTGGTCAAGGTATTTAAATTTCTCTAAAAGTAAATAATTAATTTTATCTTGATCGGTGTTACATTGACCTAAATCTAATTGTTTTCTTTTACTATTGAATGATAATTTACCAGATTGACTATAATTGATGCTGCTTAACCAACGACGTTCAAACATTTTGGTTAATTTGCTTCTATGCTTCCATTCACCAGATGCGACGACAAATGTATAAAGTGGCAAAAACTTCCAACCATGATTTGATACAAATTCTAAGGCCTGAACTAAGAAATCAATCTCTTTATATGACATTGTAAAATTAACATTTAAACGCACCATCCCTGGTCTAATAACTTCTTGCTTTTCAAATATTGATTCTAGTAACTCTTTGTTATCTTTTTTAGATAAACCCAATAAGCATTCTAAATAGGGACCTGCACATGCACAGCTTGCTCTAGTTTGGATACCGAATAAATCATTCAATAGGGATGATATAAAATTATGGTGTAAAAATAATGTTGGATCTGGTTCGTATCTAATTAAAAAACTAATAATTGGTAATCTTTGAATTGTACTTTGTGCTTCATCTTTATCATCGCCACCTAAAACAACTAAATTTTTAATTGATCTTAACCTTGATCTAAAATATTGACTGTGTTCCATTTCTATTGATTTAATTGTATCTATACCTATATGCTCTCTTAATTGAAATATTAAACCGCAACGAATACTGCCAATGATCTCGGGTGTACCTGCTTCTTCACGCTCTTCAAAATTACCTAAATAAGTTGTTGAATCTGATGTTACGTAGAGTACTGATCCACCACCTGGTCTATAAGGAACATTGTTTTTTAATAAATATTTCTTGATTAATAATATACCTGGTGTACCAACACCACCTATAAACTTGTAGGTGAAAAGAAAATAGCATCTTTTTTAAAACGACTGTCATTTAACGGATTCATATCGATTGGTATATATGGTGCAGCACATGCATAGTCCCAGAAACTAAGAGCATTATATTGTTTGAGTAATTCAGTAATTGCGATTGTATCTTCTAAAATACCTGAAACATTTGAAGCAGCTGAAAACGAACCAATAATTAGTGTATTACTATTTGATAATTCATCTTTCGAACGATATTGCTTTAAACAATTTTCTAAAAATTTTAAATCTGAACCACCACCCTTTAAAGTATCCTCTGGACATGTTAGGATCTTTGCGCCAGCTTCACGCCATGGTAATATATTTGAATGATGTTCATATGGACCCAAAATAACAACTACTGAATCTTTATTGTCTCTGCATAATTCTTTAATATTTAATAAATGTACCAAATGATTAACTGCTGAAGTTGCACCAGAGCCTACAAATAATAAAACATCATCTACATTACTACCACGACAACAACGTTTAATAATTTCTCTAGCTTCTCTACGGAACAATGTTGTTTGTAACCCTGTTGCATCTGATAAAGTGTGTGTATTTGCGTATAATGGTAAAACTTCGTGTAATAGATACTCCTCAATGGACTTTAAACTTTTTCCACTTGCTGTAAAATCGTTGTATGATAATAGCTTTTCACCAAATGGAGTGTCAATTAAATCATTTACACCAACAATATCTAAATAGCTTGAATTTATTAAATTTATTTTTTTGTTATCGTTAATAGTTGTTTCTGTTGCTGCTGTTGCTTTTGGTGATGGTTGTGTTATATTTGTTGATTTTAATTTATGTAATATTTCATTCTCTTCTTTTTCTAAATTTTTATTTTCTATAAAATATTCGTCTGAAAAATCACGAATATTATTTTTTTCATTCATCTTATAAATAAAGAATCTATAAAAAAAATAAATAACTAAAAAAAAATAATTTTTATTTTTTTTGAAAATTAAAAAAAAAAATAAAAATAAAAAAAAAAAAAAAAAAAAAAAAACGAATGATTTAAATTTAACGAAATGTGTTTTGTGGAGGATTTTTAGGTTATTATAATTACTTTTTAATATCCAAGATTAATTATATAAATAAACAAATTAATGATTATTTATTTATTTTGTTTTTATTTTATATAAACCCCCTATTGAATAGAGGGATAACTTAATTTAAATATTTAAATATTTTTAAAAAAAAAAAAAAAAAAAAAAATGCAGTAATAATGAATGAAAAAATAATTATTGCTGCAATATTATGTATATATTTAAACGATTTTTAAAAATTTAATGAAACTGTATTTTCTTTTTTCTTTTTTTTATTTATTTTATAATTAAATAATTAATTAATAGATATACGATATTATTTGCAGATTGTATTAAATGGAAACTATGAAGTGATATTGATGCTATTATATGGTAGTGGTTGTAAATTATTTAAGTTGTATGAATATTATATAATTTGATTTGATTTTAATTTAAAACCACAATAAAAAAAGAATTAAATAAACCCCAATGAATGAAAAAACCCCGAATGTTTGATGAATGACTTGAAACCCAATTAAAAAGAATATTTTGAACCCAATGTTGATGAATGACTTGAAAACCACATTTAAAAAGAATATGTGAACCCCAAAGAGTGACTTGAAACCACAATTATAAAAGAATATACCGAAACCCCAATGTTTGATGAATTACCTGAAAACCCCAATTAAAAAGAATATATTGACCCCAATATTTAATGAGTGACATGAAAAAACCCCAGTGTATGATGAATGGCTCGAAACTACAATTAGAAAGATATACTGAACCCCGATTTAATAGAATAAATGGACCCCAATGTTAGACGAATGACTTGAAAACCCCAATTAAAAAGAATACATGGAACCCCCAATGTTTGGTGAATGGCTTGAAAACCCAGATTTAAAAAGAATATACCGAACCCCGATGTTTGATGAAAGACTTGAAAACCTCAATTAAAAAGAATGTATTGAACCGAATGTTTTATGAGTGACTTGAAAAAAACCCCTGTGTTTGATGAATGACTCGGAACTACAATTAGAAAGATTATACTGAACGACGAATAAATGGAATATATGGAACCACAGATGCATGATTGATTACTTGAAATAAATAACGTATTGAAACTGAAAAGAAAGAATTGAGCTTAAACTAAATAAGTATTAAAATTAGATATTTGTTTTTTTATATTCAAATTTAATAATTATTATGAAAATATTGACAATATAGTTACCTTAAAATTATGAACATACGAACGTAGACTTAAAATAGAGCGTGTTGAGCTTGAAAGAGAAATTAATTAAACTAAATATAAATTAAATATTAGTTTATTTTATATTTAAATTTAATATATGTAAATATAAACACTATTGTTACCTTAATAATATATATTCCTTATTCTTGACATTAACGAAAGAACCTGATACTGAAAGAGAAAGAATTATAATTTTACTATTAAAGAATTAAAATTAAATATTAGTTTCTTTTATATTTAAATATAAAAACTATGTAAATATAAACACAATAGTTACCTTAATAAATACCCTATTATTGACTTTAAAGAAAGGACATGGTAATACTGAAAGAAAAAGAAGCTGATAATAACGAAAGAGATATAACTATTATTATACTATTTAAAAATTAAAATAAAATATTAGTTTCATTTATATTCATATATAATTATATTTTAGTAAATATTATAGTTACAATATGAGGAGAACTTGTTTCTGGAACTTTGAGAACTTATAGAACGTAGTTTTGTAGATTTGAAGCTAATGAGATGAAAATATAATGCTAGAAATGTTGATAACGATGATAATGTTTGTCCATTGATGATGTTTTCAGTTTTGACCTTTTTTTATTTGGTTATTAATCCGTTTCCATATGGATAGTGTATTATTGATCTATGTCAATGTAATCATTGAATAAGTGGCCAGCAAATTCTTGATCAATTTCCATGAAATCTAATAATTCCTATTTGAAACGGTTATGGAAATCTAATCGATATCCATACGGTCATACATTTCCATCTCTACTTCAAAATCGTTGGAATTTGAAACATCATTATTTAAAACTGGTGGACGTTGATTATCGTCATCAGCATTATCTTGATTGTTAATTGGATTTTCATCTTGATTTCCTTGTTCTACATTAGCTTCATCTGTTGAACCTTCGACTTGATTTACTCTCTACAATTAAATAATAAATTAAATTAACATATATGTTTTATTTATTATGTATAAAATATAAATGTATGAATTACTTACTCTTACTAAAAAGAATGGAGCTCTGCAATTTGGACAGATATTATCACGACGATAACACCATTCCATAATGCAATCGTAACAAAACTTGTGGTTACAATCGATTATTGCAAGTACGCTTGGTTCAATTCTATCAATGCAAATAGTACATCGATCTAGGTTTTCGATACGTTCTCTTTCTTCTCTTTCTTGCTGTTCTCTTTGTTGTTGTTCCCTCTCTAGTCTTTCTCTCTCTTCTCTTTCTTCTTGTTCTCTGAGTTGTTGTTCTCTGAGTTGTTGTTCTTTTTCTCTTTCTTCTCTTTCTTCTCTTTCTCTTTCCAATCTGGCTCTTTCTAAATTTTCTCTACGTATCCTTTCTTGTTCTCTTTGCAATCTTTCTCTTAAAATTGCTTGGATACGCTCTCTTTCTTCTCTTTCTTCTCTTTCTTTTTGCTCTCTTTCTTGTTGTTCTCTGATTAATCTTGCTCTTTCTAGAGCTTGTCTACGCTCATTTTCTTGTCTTTCTTTTTCTAAAGCTTCAATACGTTCTTTTTCTTGTCTTTCTTTTTCCAATAGTTCCAAACGTTCCTTTTCGAGTTTTTCTCTCTTTAAAGTTTCGATACGTTCTTTTTCTTGTCTTTCCTTTTCCAATCTTTCTTCTTCCCTTATTTTTATTTCCCATGGCATAGGGTGTCTTACATCACAAAGACGTAAGTTTGGGTTGAAGCCTTTTGAATGATCGATTGGAATGTATGGATAGGTATCGACTGGCTTTTCCTTTGAGGTATACATCTTATCAAGATAATATGATGGCGAACGAGATAAAATCTCTTTTGATAATGGATGGCCATATATATCTTGATCGGTTAAGGAATAATCTTCTGAGTGAGAACAACAAAACATTCTTCTTGGTGATGAGGAACTATGGCTTGATGCGGAACCGGTATTCATATTTTGGCATGTTGAGGATTGATCAATTGGGGCAGAATATCTTGATTGGTTAAATTTGTGGTAGTTGGTGTGGGGTGTCATTATTGGTTTGGGTTTCATTATTGGTTTGGGGTGTCATTATTGGTGTGGGTGGCATTATTGGTTTGGGTGGCATTATTGGTGTGGGTTTTTTGTGGGGTGAAACGGTAAATTAATTTTAAAATTATTAATGACCATATAACAATAGCAAATAAAATTGATTCTATCATTTTTTAATTAATGAGTAAATATAAAAATATGATAGATATTATGGAATGTGAAATGTATAAAGAAATATAATTGCTATTATTTAAAACTTTTTTTTTGAAATTATACTATGTAAAACTATATACAAATAAATTATTATTTTTTATTTAATTAAAAGAATTTTTTTTTATTTTTTTAATTAAAAAAAAAAAATTTGTGTGGGTTTGTAAAAACAAAAAAAAATTAATATTATACTAACTTTAAATAAAACAATGTTTATTTTATCATAATATTTTTTAATTTTTACAAATTGAGTTTTTTTTTTTTTTTTTTTTTTTTTAAAAAATTGATATGTCATTGAAAATATGTCATACTCATTATCTATTTTATAATAATATTATTATAATAAATGTATGAACTTCAACCCCGTGTGTGGCTTTATTTTTTTTTTTTTTTATTTAAAAATTTTTATTTTTTTTTGATGACAATCAAACTGTAAATTGAAATTGAAATAATATATCAAATACATACATGTGGGTGTGTTAAAACAATGGATGACATAAAAAGTTTTCTTTATTATTAAAAAAATAAATTAAAAAATAAAAACATTAAAAAACCAAATTTAATATTGCTTTATTTTTTTTTTTTTAAATGATTTTTATAAATTTAATAAAACTTAAAAACTATTTTATTTTTTTTTATAATATTATTATGTGCTGAACACACCACCGAGAAACATAATCATAAAATATTTGTCTTTATTTAATATATAATTTAATATATAAAAAAATAATTATTTTTTATTTACATTTTCTTCTTTTTTTTTTATATTTATGGATTACCACCAGAAATATTTATACCATTAAAATTACTCGAGTTACTATTGCTACGACTATTACTACCAATAGTACCATTGCTATTATTGTTATTATTATTATTATTATTATTATTAACTAATTGGGTTGGAGGTGGTATAGGTTGTGGCAATTGAACATTTAAATGTTGTAATATTAAATCTAATTTTGCATTTAATTCCTCGACTCTATTTGATAAAGCATCTACTTTTTTTTTTTTTGATTTTTCTTTTTCCCAAGTTGCAAAATCTTTTTTGTGTACATTTGGTGAACCTACTAATTTCAATTCGAATGTAATACCTGTATTTTTTGATGATTGAATTTCTTCAAGATATTTATGACGAGTTCTTGAAATTTTCATTAACAAATCTGCATAATAGGATGATTCATCGTCTTTTATTGTTGGTATTAAAGCTGTTAATTCACTAAAAATTTATATTAAATTAAAATTTGTTAATTATTTTTATAATTATAATTATTAGTTTTAAAACTTACCCTTTAAAAGTTAATGGTTCAATACCAGGAGTTTCTATTAAACCCGGTCTTTGATCAATAAGCATTAGAGATATATCATAGATGTCATAAATCTCTTTTCTAAATAAAAATTGAAATGATTTTATTGACTTTTCCCATTTTGTCATTAAATATCTTTTACTTCTTTGTTTTTTATCGAATGAATCGCTAATACCTTCATATGATTTTGAAATAATAGCAATAAACATATTCATTAAAATGAAAAACATAAAAATAGTAAATAATAAATAATACTATAGTTTATATAAAAAAAAATAAAAAAAAGAATTAGTATATAATTAATATAAATAAAAATAAAAACTATAATTACAATTGGACCAAGAGCTCTATTTGTTGAAGACATTGCTTCATAATCAGGTGGATTACCAATAATAAATTGAAGTAAAGTACCTAATGATGTAACAAAACCATTATAAGCTGCATTATCTGGACCAAAAGTCAACCAACCAGAGAATAAGAAACCCAACATTATAATGCAAAACATAATTGTAAATGTAATTAATTGAAGTTTTGACTGTGAAATTGCAATCCATAAAATATACAAACGTTTATGAATAATTAAAAATCTAAATGTTTTAAATGCCATTAATAAAATATCTATTGAAAAAAAAAAAAAATTAAATTAATATAAAAAAATAAAATAAAATAAATAATTAAAAAAATTCCTACTTATTGCTGAAATTTGATATAAAACTAAAGCAGTTTGTCCCAAGTTTTCTAAATATAATGGATATTTTATAGTTTCATCAGTTAATGAAACCTCTCTTGAATTATCACCTAAAAATGCTATATATAATGCTGTAGATGCAATAAATAACTAAATTACCGCCAACACATTAAAAAAAAAAATTAATATTAATATTTATTTTTTTAAATATTTTTAAACCAACTGCCGCAAATGATACCTACAGTTAAATTTATTATATCAAATGAATTTTTTAATGAAAGTAAATAATTTCTTAATCTATTTAATTGATAATCGATTCTAGCTTCATTAATGAAAAAGTATACATAATAAATTAAAAATAAAAAGAATACAGTTTCGAGAAAACCTCTAAATCTATCGACTGCATCCATATACATGTTTACTCTATATGTTCTAACTGAATAGTATGGGTTAACTTCACCTGAAGCTGGCCATTCTGTTAACTAAATAAAAACAATTGAAAATAAAAGTTAATATAAATATTTATATTGATTATATTATTTAATTAAGATTATTACCATTGTAAATACAGTTGTTCTAGATTGGAAATTTAAATTTAAAGTTGAAAATGAAATAATTACTGCTCTTGTTTGGACATCGATGAAATCATTATCAATTAATTGTTGAATTTCCATGGTAACATTTTTAACAGAAATATCGACATAGTAACCAGATCTATCCCAAACATATTGATTATGTCCAAACACAAATGAACCATGTGTATTACTTGTATAAGTATATATGCCATTTGGACCATATGGTGATCTATCTTTAGTTGATCCATCATATGAATTTGAATAACATGTTAAGTTTAATCCATTATCAGTACATGAACCTGGTTTAATTCTAGTAGTTCTAATTCTAATAGTATTACCAATAATTTTATTCATTGCATCCTCATTATCTAGTGACATTGATAATACAGTTTCACAAAATGTTGTTGTTAAATACTAGAAGATCATAAATAATTAGTATATATTGTGATGACTATAACATAATAATAACAAATGTGCTAAATAAGCTACCACCTACCTGTTTAAAATCATCAGAAAACTTGATATCCATATAGGGTACATCACCACTGAATAAATATGAATTTTTTAATGATGTATTTATGTTATTTACAGTTGATGGATTTAATTGTAAGATTACAATTAATAAAAAAACTGCAAAAAAAACAATATGGATGATTAAATCTTTGATTAACCTTGTATTTCTTTGAGTTTCTACAGCTGCTAATAAAGTTGCTTTATCTTCTCTTGATCTATTTTCTAAACCCTTAACAGCTTCCAATCTTTGCGAAAACCCTTTTTTTCTAATCGTCGTACTGAAATGCATCTTTTATTTTTATTTTCTTCCTTTATATATATATATAATTTAAACTAAATATATATATAATTATATTATTTAATTTTATAAATACATGTATAATAAATAATAAACCTTTAAAAATACTTAATATTCTAAATATTAAAAATAAATATTAAAAAAAAAAAAGTAAAAATTAATATTTATTATTATATTATCTGTGCAAAATTTGTCAAGTTGTTGATTGATGATAATAATAGACGATTATAACAATAATAAAATGAATTTTAGATAATTTAAAAATTTAAAAAAAAAAAAAAGAAAAATAATTGTAACAATAAAATAATAAAAATAATAAAAATCAAACGGTGTGTGGGAAGGGGGGAAATTATCTTTTTTTGATTATATAATTATATAATTAAAATTCTTTTTATTAGGCTTCCATTCTGCTTGCTCGTTTTCGGCACGTTCCGGCCACCTTAACTTGTCTCGGGCTGTTCGATGTCCCTGATGGCTGGGATTGCGTCCGGGCACAAATACCCTGCATCTCGGCCAAAAGTCCGCCGGTGGACTTATCAAAAACCTCAGCAAAATTAAAAGCCGGAAATGTTTTTAGC